CTTTTATTTATTCTTCATTTTTATTGGAATATAGTTGTTTGACAATGTTGTGTTAGTCTCTACTATATAGTAAAGCGAATCGGCTATACATATATATATATATATATATATATATTTCCTCTTTTTTGGATTTCCTTCCCTTCTAAGTTACCATAGAGCATTGTGCAGAGTTCCCTGTGCTATATAGGTTTTCACTAGTCATCTATTTTATACATAAATTTATTCTTAAATATTTTGTTTTGATACTATTATAAATATGGTGATTTTCTTTATTTTTTTCATATAATTCATCATCAGCTTATAGAAATGCTAGCAATTTGTGTATGTTAATGTTGTATCCTGTAACTTTACTGAAGTCATTGATTGGATCTACTAGTGTCTGGGTGGAGTCCTTAGGATTTTCTTGTCAGTAATTCCAACATTTGTTTAAACTTGGTATTGGTGTCAGTGGTTCATTTGTCATGAGTTGTGATTTTCTTAGTTCTTAGAATAAAGATTTTCTGTTGCTAGGAGGCTTAGGTTCCTATTTAAATCTTTTATTTTAGCAGGCAGGTATCCTGTTCTGTTTAGTGTGCAGGTTTTAACCTCCTTTTGTAGATAGTGGTTCCACTGACAGTTTAAATTTTCGCAGCTTTGTGGTGTCCTTTCGGTCTGCTTTTGAAAAAGGAAATGGCAACCCACGTCAGTACCCTTGCCTAGAAAATTCCATGGATGAAAGGAGCCTGGTGGGCTACAGTCCATGGGGTCACAAAGAGTCGGACACAACTGAGCAACTTCACTTTCTGTCTTCTTTAACTGGTGTCACTGGGGCTTTTTGCTAGTGCTGCCTGAGGGGATAAAAGGAGTCTTCCCAGGTTGGGATGCTGGGTCTCTCTCTGGGATGAGAGGTTTTTGGCCTCAAGGAACTAAGATGCTTCTCTATTCTAGAGTTGCCTTATCTTTGCGCTACAGACCACATGCTTATTACTGTGAGACATTCCTCTCCCCCCAAACCCTCGCCCTCTCTCCCTTCCCAGACACACTAGTTACCCTAGTCACCCTGGTGTCTCTGGCAAGAGATAGGTTACTCAGGCCAATCAAGACAAGAGGCTGCCTTGTCTGGGTGCTTTGGCAGGATGCCCTCTACTGGTTACCCCTTGAAATGCCAGGTCTCTGGGAGGAAGTGGGGCTTGTTGTTTACTGCTTAATGTTCCAGAACTCCTTGTTGATGGTGCTGGGTTTGTCTCATACACAGTAAGTTCCCTACATACAAATGAGTTTCGTTCAGAGAGCTTGTTCATACGTCCAATTTGTTTTTAAGTGCAACGAAGTTAGGCTGGGTACCTAACTAACACAGTAGGCTATATAGTACTATACCATAATAAGTTTATAATACTTTCCAAACAAATAATTTGGCTGGCATACGGGACCTGTCAACTCATGAAGGATTACTGACTGGAAGGAGAGGAGGTGGGAAATGGTGGAGTTGAAGGATGGTCAACAACAGGAGATGGAGGGCAAGCTACAGTTTCACTCACCGCTGATGTTGCTGGCACAGGTTCTGGTTCCTTGCAGGATTCAATTTTATCTACCCTCTTGAAAAAATGATGCAGTGATGTCTGGGTGGTAGCTCTTTTCCTCATCATCGAGGGCAGGGTAGCATGGGTTGCATTCTGAATGGCTGCTGCAAATTTCATATTCCATCCTATGTTCCTGTGTCTCAAAAACTAACTGCCTCCTCAAGGAGTTAGTAAGCTCCTCATGTTGCACAACAGTACTGTGAAGTACAGAAACGCACAACCACTCGCAGAGTATGCGTGCAAGGGACAGTGCACGCCAGACACATGAACTAGCATGGTTGGACGTGCAAATATGTGTCACATCTCTGAAAGTTTACAACTTGAAGCTTTGTATGTAGGGGACTTAGTGTAGTTTGAGGGACTGTTTTGATGTGAGAGGAACGGACTACTTGACTCTTCTATGGCGAGGGTGGATCACCATCTTCTGTTCAGTGGGGAAATTAAATCCTACCACTTAGGTTGTCCTTCCAGTCATGAGGTTCCAAATCAATTCACCTTTTCTTAACACTTTTGACAGTTTTCCTTTGTTCCTTTGGTTGCCTCCTTAGTTATTCCCATGATTTATAGTTAGAGGAGCAAAAAAAAAAAAAACCAAAAACAAACAGGTCTATGCACTCTTGTATGGACCTGAAGTCTGTGTTTAACTTTTAAGAAACTGATATTTTCCAAATTAATGGTATCATTTTATTTTCCCAACAACAGTGTATGAGGTCCAGTTTCTTTCACATCCTTGCCAACACATGATATTATCAGACTTTTAACTTTTAATCATTCTAGTGGGTATGTAATGATTCCCATTATAGCTTCAATTTCCAATTACCTGATGACTAATGATGCTGAACAATATTCATGTGCTTATTTGCCATTTGTATCCCTTCTACAGTGAAATGCCTATTCATCTTTAGCCAAATTAAAAAAAAAACTGGGCAGTTTGTCTCACCATTGTTTAAGAGATCCTCACATATTCCAGGTTCAAGTCCTTTTCAGATATATTTTACAAATATTCTCTCAGTCTGTGGTTTGCTTTTTATTATCTATAAAATATCTTTTGGAGAAGTGAAGTCTTTAGTTTTCTAAGTCCTATTTACTCATATTTTCCTTTATAGTTTTTGCTTTTTGTAACCTATTTAAGAAAACTTTTGCCTTGCTCTAATAAATTATCACAAACTTAGGTTAAAACAACACAAATTTATTATTTCATATAAGTTGGTAGGTCAGAAGTCTGGTGGACTTTGATGACTTCTTTGCCTTGAGCCTCACAAAGCCAAAGTGAAGGTGTTGACTGTCTAGGCTCTTACCAGGGCCTTCTGGGAAGAATCTATTTCTAAGGTCAGTCAGGCTACTGGAAGATTCTAGTTCTTTTCTGCTGCAGGACTGAGGTCTCTGATTCCTTGCTATCATCTGGGACTGACCTTAGCTCCCAGAGGCCCTTCTTCTCCAGTTCTTGCACATGGACCCCGACATCACTGAGCCACCAACAGCATAGCAAATTCCCATATTTGGATTTTTTTTTATTGGAGGATAATCGCTTTACAATGTTGTGTTGGTTTCTGCTGTATAACATGAATCAGCCATAAGCATACATATATTCCCTCCCTTTTGAGCTTCCCTCCCACCCACCCCCATCCCAGCTCAGCATCAGGCTGAGCTCCCTGTTATATACCAGCTTCCCACTAACTATCTATTTTAAACATGGCAATGTATATATTTCAATGCTACTTTCTCAGTTTGTTCCTTCTTCCCCTCCCTGCTATGTCCACAAGTCAGTTCTTTATATCTGTGTCTCTATTCCTGTCGTGGAAATAGGTTCATCAGTACCATTTTTCTAGATTCCATATATATGCCTTGTTAGTTGCTCAGTTGGGTCCGACTCTTTGTGACTCCATAGACTCTAGCCCGCCAGGCTCCTGTCCATGGAATTCTCCAGGCAAGTGGAGTGGGTAGCTATTCCTTTCTTCAGGGGATCTTCCCAACCTAGGAATCAAACCTGGGTCTTCTGCATAGCAGACAGATTCTTTACCATCTGACCCACCAGGGAAGCCCCCAATATGCTTAAATATAGATTTGTTTTTCTCTTTCTTCACTTGTCACGTTTGGAAGTTATTACCTCCCCTTCTGTCAATTTCTCTTGCCTCCAGTGAGAGAAAAGTTCTATGCTTTTAAAAGCTGTGATTAGACTGGGCCCACTCAGATAAACTAGGATAATCTCTTTAAAGTCTATTAACCTTAATCACACCTGCAAAGATGTGACCCTGGGCTTGTAATATACTTACAGGTTCCAGAGATTAAGGTGAGGACATCTTTGGGGGACCGTTTTACTTAACCATAAAAAGTCATTAAGGTTTTCTTCTAGTTTTATAATTTCAGCTTTTACTTCTGTTATACATTGTGGTAAAATATATTTTGCCATATTTTATATTTGTTGTATTTATGTTTTGACTTACGGTCCTTTTGCAAGTGGAGAGGTGTATGTGTCTAATCCACTTGTTACAGCACCATTTTGGAGAAAACATTACCCCTTTCCCACTGATGTCCTTGGCATCATTAAAAAAAATTAATTGAAAACACATAGATCTATTTCTGGATTCTCTGTTCTGCTCTAATGCTCTATTTCTTATCTTTCTGCCAATTCCAGTCTTAATTATATAATTTCATAAATCCTATAATCAGATTATTTAAATCCTCCAAGTTTGTACTTCTCTTTGAAAATTTGGGTCTTAAATCCTCTGCATTTCCATATAAAATTTAAAACCAGCTAGTTAATGTTATAAAATCCTTCTGGGATTTTGATTGGTATTACATCAAATCTTTAGATTAACTTGGGATAATTGTCAGCTTAATATTATCTTTGGATCTATGAACATTATTATAAACTGAGTTGTTTTCTTGAAATTCTAATGTTGAAGTTCTAATACCCATGTGATTGCAGATAGAGCTATTATAAAGTAAATTAAGGTCACAGGTGCCAAGTAGCTTCAGTGGTGTCTGACGCTTTGCAACCCTATGGATTGTAGCCCACCAGGTTCCTCTGTCCATGGAATTCTCCAGGCAAGAATGTGGAGTAGGTTGCCATTTCCCACTCCAGCGGATCTTTTTGACCCAGGGGTAGAACTTCGTCTCTTACTTCCGTCTCCTGAATTGGCAGTCTGGCTCTTTACCACTAGCAACAACTAGGAAGCCGGGGTCATGGGGCTGGGTCCCTAAATCCCATAGGACTAGTGTCCTAACAAGAGACACTGGGAGTTCACACACACAAAGAGGCCAGGTGAGGACGCAGTGAAAAGGTAAGACCCTCAGGACAGACTAAACCTGCAGACTTAGTGATACTGGACTTCTAAACTCCAGAACTGTGAGAAAATAAACTTCTGCTGTTTAAGTCACCTGGTCTGTGGTATTCTGTTACGGCAGCGCTACCTGACTAATATGAACATGACATATCTCTTTCAATCATACAGGCTTTATTATCTCTAAGCAATATTTTATAATTTTCAGGATACAGGTACTACACATCTTTGGTCAAATTTGTCCCTGAAGTATTTCACAGTTTTTGATGCTATTACAAATAATTTTAAATTTAATTTTCTTCCACTTATTAATAGAGTTTCCACACACTCTACATCCAGCTTACCCTATTGCTAACTTACATCTTACATTTATCATGGTACATTTTCACACTTGATCTTAGCCAAAAGGCCGAGAAGCGATTATCAGGTACATTTTCACAATTATTGAACCAACAGTGATACAATACTGTTAACTAAACTCCATACTTTATTTGGATCTCATGAGTTTTCCCCTTCAGATTTTTTTGTTCCTGGATCACATCCAGGATGTCACATCCTATTTAGCCTTTGTCTGCTTTGTCCCCTTTGATCTGTGAATATCTCAGATATTCCCTGTTTTTGATGACCTGACAGAGCCAGGTACTGTCAGAATGTCTCTCAGTTTGAGTTTATGGTTTTCTCATGGTTAGTCTGGGGTTCTAAGCACTTGGGAAGACAACAGAAGTAAAGTAACAATCTCATCAAGTCCTATTAAGAGTATATGCTATCATAACTGATGATGCCGACCTGTCCGAGGTATGTGTGCCAGTTTTCTAACTGCGAAGTTGCTTTTTGTCCCCTTTCCACACTTTATACTCTTTTGATGTAAATCATGAAGTACGGCCCATTCTCAGGGTATGGGGAGTTAAGGTGTACCACCTTGAGAGGGAACATCTATATAAATTATGTGGAATTTTACCAAGATCTGTGTTACCTCTCTCATTTATTTACTCAATCATTTATATCAGCATGTACTCATTGATGTTTATTTTATACTTTGGATTTTAATTCAATACTAAATTGCATTTTTGTTCAAACTGTTCCAGCTTTGGCCACTGGAGGCTCTTTCAGGTTGGCGTCTGACCCTCTGACATTCAAAAAACAACTTAGCTATTTTTTAAGGATCAAGTTCAGTATGTTAATTATATTCACATGGTGCAAAAGACCTCTAGAACTTTTCAAAACTTGCAAAACTAAAACAATTCCCATTTCTCCTTCTCTGTAACACCTGGCAGCCATCACTGTGTTAAGTTTCAATGAATCTGACTACTCTAGATAATCTCATACGAGTGGAATCACACAGCATTTCTCTTTTTCTGACTGGCTTATTTCACTTTGCTTCCTGTCCTCAAGGCTCGTCCTTCTTTTCCGAGACTGCACAATGTTCAATTGTGCACTGACATTACACGTCCTTGTCCCATTCATCCCTGAGTGGACATCTGAGTTGCTCCCTCTTGGCTACTGTGAATATGTTGCAATGAACCTGGGTATGCAAATACTTCTTCAAGACCTTGCTTTTGGATATATACCCAGAAGTGGACTGCTGGATCATGGAAATCATACCTGTTCTACTTTTAATTTTTGAGGAACTTCTATACTCTTTTCCATAGTGATTGCAACATTTTACATTCCTACCAACAGTCCACAAAGGTTCTCCTTTCTCCAATCCTTGCCAACATTTGTTATCCTGTGTGGTTTCCTCCAACTTTGTGGGTTTGGATTTGAATGCATTTATTCTAGTGGCTAGAGCCACACGATTCACAGTTCCTTTCAGGAGAATCTGATGTAGGGAGTATAGTTGGCTGACAAGCCTCTAGCTACTGGATTTTCAGATCAATGGATACATTTGTGCTGAGGCCACAGTCCCCTTCAGTCACTGACTAAGCAAGACATGGTCCAAAGTCAGGTCATTTCTGCCTAACTCTGGACTTTTTTGAAGGCTCTACCTTTGTCTTAAACCCACCCCTTTATCTTTCATGTATGAGAAAGATACCCTTCTCCCAATAGATTCTTACATATCTAATTTTGTCTTGGCATCTACTTCTTTGACACAGCATTTTTGGGAAGAAGTGAAATTAGATATTTAGTTTACTACCATAATTTAACTATTAGGACAATTGCTTCAAATCACCCTCTTTAGTTTGCTGACGTTAACATGGTCATAGCCCTGGAAATAAATTGGTGCCAAATGTGTTTCAAAAGTAATCTGAAGAGTTTTAGAAATAAATTTCTTTCAACGAAAAGGAAAAAAAGATATTTAGTCTAGTGTCTTAATACAGAAGTAACTATTAAGTTTTGAGTCCTTTAAAGATGGGAGAATGAATTACTTCTAACATATTTATTATCTGAGAGAAAATTTATTGTTCTGATTTACTGAAACTTAAAATATTCCATCAGACTACCCACGAAACTCCAGGTAGCAAAAAATATACAACACTGTCCATTCCTTTAAGAGGTTTCACACAAGTTTTAAAAGGCCACAGAACTATATATAAATATATGAGTGTGTGTGTGTGGACACACACTATACCATTTAAACTACTTCTATATTCTATACGTAAAATTTCAAGTATAGAAGCATACCTTTTAGAGCTGAGGTAACACCAACTTTCTCTCAACATAAATGCATAGGTGTTTAAGGTTAAGTGTGAATACTGTTAAGTGTCAAGTCATTTGATCAATTCCATTTTGATTTTAGATAAAAAACAGTATATTATACATGCATCTGAACGAAACATCTTCAATATGTCTGTGTCCATGTGTGTGTTTCAGTGGCAGGGGGAAGAACAGGTATATCCAGGGACACGCTGACTGAACCACAGATAACTGAATGTTAGAAGTCTGCTGTAGTTGGTAACACAGAAACATACACAGTCTTCGTATTCAAAGTCTTCATAGGGATTTCTTCTGTAATTTCTAGAATGGAAAGAAGAAGTTTTAAGGAAATAATTTTTCTATCTATTTTGGATGAATATTAAAAAAAAATGTTAACTACCTGGATAGCAAGATATTCGCCCTTACCTTAAGGGAAGCCTAAACTTTGTCTCAGCTACTGGGGGGTACTTTTTCCTGAGTGACAGGAGTGTCTTTTATTATATATTTTGTTATATATTGTGAACACACCTGGTAGTTTATGCTAATGAGATGACAATGAGATGACTCAGGGTGGAGTTGGCCACACCAGAAAAAACAATCATATGAGCAATTATACCTATGCATTGAAGTCTTAATATAAACTCTGGACACCAAGACTCAGTTGAGCTTCTCTGGTTGATAATACACTGTACATACTACTGTCATGCTCTGGGGCTAGGAGGAGGTAACACTGTCCATGACTCCCTGGGGAGAGACATCTGAAGTTACATACTTGGACTCCCTCCCAGATTTGGCCCTGTGCATCTCTTCCCTTTGCCTGATTCTAGTTTTTTTTCCTCCTTTCCCTATAATAAATGTAGTCATGAGTACAACAGCTTCCATAAGTTCTGTGAATCCTGCTTGTAAATTATCAAACCTGAGGGTGAATTTGGGAAACTCTCTGAAGTGTGCAGTTGGTGCCACAGTGACCAGAGTGTTGTCTGAAGTCTTTTGTCTGCCTAACTCCTAATACATGGGGTTACAAGTTTTAGGCAGATTTCTGGAGGACTGTGCCCTTAACTTAACTAATCTTAACTCATCTGAGTACTGACCAAGATGTACCTACACCCTCACTCAAACAGTATTTTCTTTCTTTTTTGAATGCATGAACTCCTTTATTGAAAATATTGAGCTAGCATTGAGTAGTGCATTACATACACTCAATATCCATAAATGAAGGGTCACACATGTCTGACTGGACAATATTGTCAAACAGTATTTTCTATGTCTACAGAAAAGGCCTAGACTCAATTCTAAGCAAGTAGCTCAGAGTCGTGGTTTCTAAATACTCACACCTTACAATAGGAAGAAGTGTCAGTTCCAAGTTTAGGGAAAAAAGAGTACATGATAAACGAAGGACACTTACAATGTCAGAAAGCAAAAAGTTATCAAAGACTGAAGGCTCAGGTCAAAAGATACAGGAGAATTTTTATCTTTAGTCATAAAGATAAAAAATTTGAGCATCCAAAAGTATAACACAAATGTTATATATCAAAACACACTGAATACATAAAAGCTCAAAGAAAACGGGGAGAGAAAGGGGAGAGAGAAAAAGAAAGAGAGAGAGAAAACAAGAAAGCCACAACTACTGAGCCCGTGAGCTCTGGAGCCCACAGGCCACAGTGAAAGAGCCCACGCGCGGCAGCTACTGAGCCTGAGTACCACAACCAGGAAGTCCGCCTGCCGCAACTAAAACCCACCACAGCTAAATCAAAACAACAACAGTGTCCCTGTATACTGGATAATTTAGAAAGCCACATGCATGCCCAGAGCAGTATGCATACAGAGACACCTGAGAAGACCCTAGGCGTTCGAATCTGATAAAGATAAAAGGCTTTTGTGGCCAAAGGTGGCTGACTTTCAGGACACAGTGCAAAAAGAAAGAGAAGCCTAGGGCAGGGCCTGGAAGAGTTGAAGGAGTGGCCCAGAACAGAGCCAATCTTTAAAGACCAGGAGAAGTGGGTATTTTGTTTTTAAACTTTTAGTTCCTGGAGGTCAAAAAAATCTCTTGTCAAAATATTAATAAAGGACCTATATTAAAAAATAGTTTGGAAAAGTCATAAAGAGATGGTTATAGCCTTCAACCATCAAAAACAGCAAACCCTGGGGAGGAGAACCTGATTTCCAGAGTTACCACATTCAAATATCCAATTCTCAACAACCAAAAAATTACAAGGAATACAAAATATAGGAAAGTATGGCCCATTCACAGGAAAACATAATTAACAGAATCTGTCCCTGAGAAAGTGCAGATACCTGAACTTAACAGATAGACGGTCTCAATCAACTGTCTTAAATGGAAAACAACAGACTAATGGAAAGGCCAATGGAAACCACAGACAAAGAACTAAAAAACCAGGAAAACTATCAACAAAATGAGACTATCAATAGAGAAATTATAAAAAGGAATTAAACAGAAATAGTGGAAATGAAAAGTACAATAACTAAAAGTCACTTGAGGGACTTCCCTAGCAGGACCCTGGTCCCTTCTGATGCAGTGGGTGAGGGTTCAATTCCTAGTCAGGGAGCTAAGATCCCACATGCCTTATGGCCAAAAAACCCCAGAAAACATTAAGACAGAGGTGATACTGTAACAAATCCAATAAAGATTTATAGATGGTTCACATCAAAAAAATATTTTTAAAAAGTCACTAGAGAAGTTTAACAGCATATTTTAGCAGACAGAAGAATCAGTGAACTTGAAGATAGGACATGTGAAATATCCAGTCTGAAGGAGAAGAAAAGAGAATGAAGAAAGTGAACAGAACCTAAGAAGCCTGTGAGACACAGGCCAGGTGACCAACATACACATTATGGGAGGTTCAGGAAGAAAAGAATATAAAGAATATTTGAAAAAATAAAAACCAAATCATGAAAGCAGCAAAAGAAAGGCAAAATACCAGGGACCTTCAATAAGATTACAAGATTAATTTCTAATCAGAAACCATGGGAACAACAAGGCAAAGGGGTAACATATTTAAAGTGCTAAAAGAAGAAACTATCAACAAAGAATTCTCCATTTAACAAAACAGATTTTTTCTTCTTCTTAATCTTTCCTTCAAAAATTAAGGAACAATTAAGACATTTTCAAGTAAATAAAAATTGAGGGGGGAGTTCATTACTACCAGATCTGACCACAAAAAAATGCTAAATGGATCTTTCAGGTTGAAATAAAAGGATTCTAGACCGTAAATCAAAGTCATATTGCTGTTGCTTTTAATTTTTAAGTCCACTTTTAGTTTTCTACATGATTTAAAAGTAAATACATAAAACACGATTAAGAATTTATGTTTTGGAGCACATAATTATAAAGATATAACTCCTGACAAGAATACAAGTGGGGACAGAGCTGTATAGAAGCAGAGTTTTTGTATGTTATTAAAGTCAAACTGGCATCAATTCAAACTAGACTATTATAAATTTAAAATGTTAATTGTAATCCCCATGGTAAACACTAGCATCTTAACAGAAAAAAACACAAAAGGAAGTGAGAAAATAGTACAATAAAAAAATCAACTAAACACAAAAGGTGCAATAATGGAGGAAATGAAGATAAAAAAGGTACAAGGCTCCTGGAAAAAATTTCCCAGTAAAATGTGAGGGTTTCTTCCTTATCAGTAACTATTATTTTTCTTTTTAACCAGAGCCTAACTGACCTGGAGAAAGAGAAACACCCATCTCTAGGCCCTTTCAGCCTTCCCATCTCACCTAAAGAGGAAAAATTAAGCTGAGTAAACATCTGCGCAGGTCACAGCTCAGAGGCATAGGCTCACTGAAGACTGAAAACTAACTATAAAATTATAGAACACTTCTGCCCCTTCTCCTCCCCACATACTCTACTACAACATCGTATGGGCTCCTGTATTACAGCTAAAGGATGTCCAAAGCTCTGACCATATTTAAAAAGGAATATCCAGGGAAACCATAAAACAAAAGAAGGAAATTGGAGCCTCTGGAGCCTACAGCAACAATAAACAATTATAGCCTAATTCCTAGAAGATAAACATAAAACTTTACAATGAAGGCCTACCTTACCTCAGCTTCCTTTCCTCCAAACATCATGTACTGCTATCAACCAAATATTACAAGTTATTCTAAAAGGGAACACAGTAGGAAGAGATGAAGCAAGCATCACCACTAGACTCAGATGTGGCAGAGATTTCGAAATTATCAGATTGGGAATTGAAAATAACTAGGATTAATGTTAAGGATGATAATAGAAAGGGTGGACAACGTTGAAGAACAGATGGGTATGTAAGCACAGAGATGGAAATTCTAAGAAAGAATTAAAAGGAAAAGTTAGAAATCAAAACACTGTAACAGAAATGAAGAATGCATTAGACCAAAAAGTTTATACTCAAGAACAGCATATTCAAACTGCAGAAAATCAAAGATATGACTGCTTTGGGAATGACAATGTCTAGCAACTTTCCACCAGTGCTGTGAGACATAAATCTTGATTTAGAAACTCCAATAAATCCCAGGCTATAAGGCTGTAAAAATAAAAGGAGGAAATGACAAAAGGTTTTGGGATAACAAGAAGGATGGCTACTAATCAGAGAAAAACAGATCCCATTAAGGGAAGCTATTTGAGGAAATGATTCCAGTAGCATCAGCATTAAAATGAACACCCATGTGAAACAGCAGATTATAGAACAGAACACAAGGGGAGGGCAAAAATGCTAATAGAGAAATTGTCCGAACAGCCACAGAAGCTGAAATCACAGGAGTGAATGATATAAGCGGGAGTAAGAAAGAAAGAGAAAACCTATCTTTAAAGACACTAGCCTGTGTCTTGTCCTGACTCTCTGTCTTCTAAATTATGGAATGGAGAATGTCAACTAATGACCTAACTCTTCCCATTTTTATGCAGCTCACTGAGAAAAGGCATGCTTTATAAGTTGTAAAGGAGGAGGCACAGAGTCGGTTATGTTTCCTTCTAGCTGTTATTTTAAGATACAGCGATCATTTTGATTCTCGGGGAAGAGGACAATTTTGGGATCAGCAAACAAGCTAACTTACCTAAAAGCGTATGTTTTTAATAATATACCATTATATATTTTTAGATTATTTCCAAAACAAAAAGTAATCATCCTTTAAATTATTATAACATTCACAGTATGGAAAATTTCTGGAGATAGCAAAAAAGTAAAAGTAAACAATAGGATTCTCTCTTACACATATAATCTATAAATGATTGATGGCATCAAAATCTATTTTCAAGAAAGTAAAAACAAAAATGAAAGAAATTAGCATGTTCTAAAATCTCCTCACCTTCTGTCTGAGTCTCATTCAGAAACAGCTTTAGCTTCCTGCTCCGGAGGCCAAACATCTTGGCTGCTTCATACAGAAGACCTTGGTGGGTGAGCCCATTCTGCCCAAGTGGATTTTCAAGCAGAAGAGTGCCTACTGTTCCCATTAAACACTCTACAGAAAAATAAAAAAAGATTTAAATCCTGAGAGTTCACCCTCTGGCTGGTGGATCCCTACTGGAGGTGGTGACCAGACAGCTCTACCAGACAGAGCTAAAGGCTTGAAAGCCAGAAGTGGGTACAAGAGTGGGATTAATTGTAGAAACAGAAACAATCTTAAATATTTCACTGGGGGAGAGAAAGGGAAGAAAAAACAATTAGTATAAGAGCCCAGGAGTTTAGGGAAGAGATATTCAGTAAATATTCAAACGAAGCACGTGAAGACAGTAATAAGCATGCACAATGAGGACCTTAAAATATCAAGGAATAACAATTACCGATCTAGCCTGCTGATTAAGGTGTGGATACTTACAACAGTTCTCAGAACATCTTTCAAGAGAAAAGGGGGGAAAATTAAAAATTACAATGGTCTAGCATTTAAACAATTCAGCTTCATTTAGGCATAATTTTTACCTAACCGATTTATCTCATTTCCTAACCATGTTAAGATGGATGGGTGTTCTACATAAACACACCGAAGAAACAAGCCACGTGTCCCCCAAAGAACTGTGGGAGTCTACATTTTAAATTACTAAGTTGAAACTGACTTGAAAAATCCATATAAATCAGAAAGATTGAACATTAAAGGAATCTTAACACCTAGCATTCCATTACCTGCCCGTTGAGTGTTCACAACTGGGGGAGGTACGCACCTTGTGGATCTGCATTCAAGAGCTGTAGGTTGATATATTGACAGAGAAGAGTACTAGGACTGTCAATCACAGACAGCGCTGATCCTGCAGTCACACACAGTGTTTTTCCACTAAGATTCAGTAAGTTGGTTTGGTTTTTTATTTCTAAAAATAACAGCAAAAGTAACACACACAAAAATCATTCTTTTAGGGAGAACAGTTTAGAGTTGAAGTCATTCACTTTTTCTTACTTATTAAACTATCATGTACCTTTACAGTGATGCTTTCCACTTAATTTATTAAAGAACACCGCCCTTTCTATAAAATTAGACATCAATGATATGCACATAGTAGGAAATCTTAATGTTGCAAAATAGCATAATATTCATAACTTATAAATAAAGCAAACGAATTCCCCCCTTTAGTATTTTTTTCCTCCATACTATGCACATTCTCAGTCACTCAGTTGTGTCTAACTGTGACCCCATGGGGTGTAGCCTGCCAGGCTCCTCTGTCCATGGACTTTTCCAGGCAAGAATACTGGAGTGGCTGCCATTTCCTACTCCAGAGGATTTTCCCAATCCAGGGATCAAACCCATTATTCTTGTGTCTCCTGCATCGGTAAGTGGATTTTTTATCACTGTGCCACCTGGGAAGCTCCATACTATAAGTTCCTTTTAAAATTTCTTCCTATATAAACTTACTATGAAAAGAAACCTTATGTCAAAAAAAATTATGATCAGAAGGTAAACTGACTAATGAATATAGTCAACTATAATAGCAAGATACACAGAACAGACATAGTGTAATTTCATTTATATACAATTAAATATGGTTTCAATGGTAAAGAACCCGCCTGCCAATGCGGGAGACGCAGGAGACGTGGGTTCAATCCCTGGGTTGGGAAGATCCCTGGAGAAGGAAACTTTCCCTGGAGAAAGTTTCCCACAAGAAACTGGACACAACTGAGCCCACCCCTGCTAAACACTGCTTAAGGCAGATTAGCCACAGTTACTATGTTCCTAAAGGTCAGTGTGGGGCCCAGGCACTCCTCAGCGTTCAGCCTGCTGGGTCAGAGGGGACAGCAAGCAGCCCACACTAACCCCTCCGGTAACCTTCCAGCTTTCGAGCCAGGTACAAGAGCAACTCTCTAGCAAAGCTCTTCTCCAAGTCCATTGACTGTCAGTGTTAGATGTGGCTAGACAGATGTGTGTTCCAGTCTTTTTCTTTCTTATTCTACAACGACTTGAGACAGAGATCCAAGCTGTCCACTGGGTCAGAGATTTTTTTCCCACATCCTCCAATGAACCATCTGTCTTTCAGACCTTAATTTTCCAAGTTTCCCCCATATCAAGTTTGTGTCCCTTACTCAGCCCTTAAATGATACAACAGCAAATGGTTTTCATGTTGCTTCTATCAATTTACAATCCAACAGTAATGACAGTTCCTATTACATAATATCCCCAACAATATCTGATATTATGAAATTTTTCTAGTTTTTTGCCAATCTGGTTACATGTAACAGAACCTCATTGTGGTTTCTACTATTGAGGTATAGCAGTGTTTTCTTTATTGGCCACTTAGATTTCTTCTTTTAAGCTATTTAGACATTTCAGAAAATGAACATTCAAATTTGTTAATTGAGTGTATTAGTTTCCTATAGCTGTTGTAAGAATCACAAACCGGGGAGGGGAGTGGTGGAGGGTGAGGTAAGCAAGACAGCTTAAAACAACAAAAATGTATTGTCTCACAGTTTCCTGAAGGTGACACGTTCAAAATCTGTCAATAAGGCCATGCTCCCTCTGAAGCCTGTAAAGGAATTCTTTCTTTTCTCTTTCTAACTTCTAGAGGTTCCCAGCAATCTTTGGTGCTTCTTGGCTTGCAGGTTTGCCTAATTCCAATTTCTGCCTCTGTCACCACATAGCCTTCTCCGTTTCTGTCTTCACATGGCCCTTTTCTTGTAAGGACACATACTGGGGTAGTGCCCACCTTACTCTACTATTATGTTAACTAATCATAATACATATGCAATGAACCTACTTTTCAAAGGTCACATTTGAGTGCACTGGGGGTAGAGAGGAGGACTTCAACATATGTTTTTTTTGGGTAGAGATGGTGGGGTGGTAGTATCACAGTTAAACCCATGACAGTAGGAGGAAATGTACTTATAATTCTTTAAAATTTTATGTAGGCTTGTCTGATTGAGAACTTGGACTTAAGATACAGATACCATGTTTAATAAAGTTAAAACTCAAGAGGGAAGTCTCTGAAGCCTAGAATATATCACATGGCTAACAGGAAAGACAGCAGGATTAGAATCTTCATCTGTTAAGTTCAGTGTTCTATCAGCCATATTACACAAAGGAGGCCCAGAGACATGGCAAGCAGGAACTACTGTAGAGGCTAGCCCTGACTCAGAGTTGGGAAAAAGGTGAAGGTTATGTACCGTAACTGTTACCAACTTAAGATCTTCACTGATTCACCTCATGTCAAAGGACACAGATGAATACCTTTGACTTTCCACATACCTGTTTCACCATGGAAGACAGCCAGCTCTGTATTTTTTACACCAAAAATGCTAGTAACAACATTCTTCAGTTTTACAAGGTCCAACCTATTATCTCCTTTTGGATTTTCCAGAAGTAATACTCCACCTAAAAAGCCACAAATATAAGTGAAACTGGAAAAAAAAAAAGTTAAATTTGAATGAAAAGTCAAGGGGAACATCATCTGTATATTTTCTTTGGTCAATGTCTATTCATGTCTTCCCATTTTCTAATTAAATTTTTAAAAACTGCTGAGTTTTGAGAGTTCTTTATATATTCTACATACATACATCGTTTATTGTATATGTGGTTTGCAAAGATCTTCTACTAGTCTGTAGCTTTTTTTTAAATTATTATCATTTTCACAGGATCTTTCACAAAGCAGGATTTAAAATTCTGAAGAAGTTTGACTTCCCAGTTTTTCTTTTTATGAATGGGACTTTTGTTACTAAGTCTTAAAAACTCTTTGCCTAGTCCTGAATCCTAAAAATTTTGTTTTCTCCTAATTGTTTCATAGTATTATACTTATGTCTGTAATCCCTTTTAATTTAGTCTCTGGATAAGGTGTAACACTTAGGTCTAGGACAATTTTTGCATATGGATGTCTAACTGCCTGGTACCATATAATGAAAAGACTAGTCAATTAAATCACTTTTGCTGGTCTACTGAGTGCAGCATTATAACAGCATCATCTTTTTGAATTTGAAACACCTCAGCTGGAATTCCATCACTTCCACTAGCTTTGTAGCAATGATTCCTTAGGCCCACTTGACTTCACACTCCAGGATGTCTGGCTCTAGGTGAGTGATCACACTGTTGTGATTATCTGGATCATTAAGACATGTTTTGTACAGTTCTTCTGGGTATTCTTGCCATCTCTTCTTAATGTTTTCTGCATTGTTAGGTCCATACTGTTTCTGTCCTTTATTATGCCCATCTTTGCATGAAATATTCCATTGGTATCTGTTCACTTAAGAAGGCTTTATTTCTCCTTGTTATTCTTTGGAACTCTGCGTTCAGTTGGGTATATCTGTCCTTTTCTCCTTTGCCTTTCACTTCTCTTCTCTTCTCAGATATTTGTAAGGCATCCTCAGACAAGGATTTTGGCTCTTTGCATTTTTCTTGGGGCCAGTTTTGATCAGCACCTACTGTACAATGTTATGATCCTCTGTCCACAGGTTTTCAGGCAGTCTTAACAGGCCTAATCCCTTGAATCTATTTGTCACTTCCACTGTATAATCATAAGGGATTTAATTTACGTCATACCTGAATGGTTTAGTGGTTTTCCCTACTTCAATTTGAGCCTGAATTTTGCAATAAGGAGTGTGTGGTAGTGGAGCCTAGTTTATTCTGTTTAATTGGCTGGAGTAGAGCATTTATGGTCTAGAAGTTTTTTGTCTTGCTAGGTTGCCACTCTCCTGGTCCCCCAGTGCAGAGAGAGCACGATTTTCTGTGTGCGTGCGTGCGTAGTCGTTTCAGTCATATCTGACTCTTTGTGACCTCATGGACTGTACCAGAGAGGCTCCTCTGTCCATGGGATTCTCTAGGCAAGAACTGGAGTGGGTTGCCACGCCCTCCTCTAGGGGATCTTCCTGACTCATGGATCGAACCTGCATCTCTTATATTTCCTGCATTGGCCACAGGGTTCTTTACCACTAGTGTCACCTGTGAACATTTTGTTGGGGTGTTTGTATTCATGCCCATTGGTCTTTCATGGTTGCCAGTTTCTTCAGCTCTGAGTCTGGGATACATGAAGCAAAAAGAAAAACCAGGGAATTCTCCATCTTCTTACTTGATCCCAAGATCCTTAGTTGGTCTGCCTTCTTCCCTCCACCAGTAAGAGTCTTCTTATGCTTGTTTTTATGTATCATGTCTAGGGTGTTTTGCTGTACTTTGTGGGAAGAACAGGGAAAAAGTATGTCTACTTCATCTTCCTAGAAGTGGAAGTTCAATCATTTACTTTTGTGGATTCATTACATGACAATTAGAAAATGGTACTCAATTTTACCAATTCTCTTATAATAGCCTTAAAAACATTCATAGGTTTAACTAAAAGACAAAATACAAGCAATGGAATTCATTTCCTCTTACCTTGCTCACTGCCATTTGTACAAATGTTAAGATTGATGTATGCACAAGCAGGACCAGGCGTGGCAGATCCTTTGGTGAGTGTAATTTCCAGGTCAGACCCTTTTAACTAAGCATGTGAAAAAATGTGACTGGGTAACTATAGCACCTGATCACAGTGTCACCAACTGAGATAGCAACTATTCAGCAAGAATAAGAGCTCCACACAATTCTGAGAGCATATTTAATCTAATTACTATGACAGCCAAGAGCTACACTTCCCCCCGCTGTTACCTTGTTCTTTCCCATTGAAAACACAGTCACATTCAGGGCCTGATTGTCTGTTCCATTTGTCCCATACAAAATAGGATCAACACAAGGAACATACGACTGAATGAATGACTAACTGATACAGAAAAGAATTTTTTACTTTGAGACATATTTCTGAATTACTGGCCAATATCTTTCATATCTTGGTCAGATTTTCACAGTTACATCTAAAATGTACCAACAAGAAATGAAACTGTAATTCTATGTATAACTTAATACCATAAAAGTAAACTGCTTTTCAAGTCAATTGCTGTTTACACAACACTAATGTTTATAGTTTTAGATAAGACAGCATCATAAAGTCATCTAACAATTTGTATGTATGTCCTGGTTACCTTTTCCAAGAGAATAGCTCTAATTTTCTTTCTTCTCTTTTAGACCTCACTCTCTAATCCTATTCACTATTCTCCAGAGCAATACTTCAAGAATAGTACTATACTAATTGCTACCAGGGGAGAGAACATTAAGATACGACTACAAAAACTTAACATAAAATTTAATCGTAAATCACTTACTAGTTCAACAGAATTCAGAACTTACCTGCATTTTTTCTTGAATAAGTATTTCATCTGATATAGGAACTGGATATGGCTTCAAAGGAGACTTTATGGTGGCAAATATGAAGTCTGTGTGGCTTTCGATAACATTATTCAGATACTTTCCCTCAGAAGTTGCTTTATAATAAACTGTTATTTCATCAGTTGGAACCAGACTGCACTGAAAGCATATAAAGAAAATGCAAAAGGGAAGCACGCTTGTCAATTAAAACACAAAACACTGTTAAACAGAGCTGATGATCCCATACTGAATCATTACGGAAGGGTACAATGTCCTGACAAACTCTCTGGAAAAAAAAGCAAGAATTCACAAAGCTTTTAATTGAGACACAGTTCATCAGCAAACCATCACCTGCTGGAGTGGCTACTCAGTCTCAACAGCCTGACCAGAGGAGGACGACCTGTGGGGGGCCCTCCCTGAGACAGAAACTCTCTGGCTCTCTCACCCAGTAAGGGAAGGCCATGGGTTTTGTGCACTTGCTCTGGCTCTCAGCTTTTTGAATGAGGAAGAACCACCTCATTCCATCCAGATCCAACAATCTCTCTCTCCCCTGAGTTAAGAACCCTTCCACACTGACTGCACCGCTACTCTTCTTCAGAGGTGTTTGCTGTCATCTCTGATAACCGTATGTGCCAGTCAAGAGGACTCTCTATCCAGAAGATGGTTTTGTGGAAGCCCTAAGGAACTGGGCCTAAGAAGTATAATCTGAATGGATCATAGATCAATGACAATCAGTAATAAATTACTGTGGTTTATATTACCTGTGTCTCCTCTCTTTCCCAACAACCAAAACAAAAACCAAAACAAAATTCCAAACAGTAGCTTATCTTTAATCTCACAAACTGACCTTTTTGCGAAGTTTCTGGATACGATTGATGACTTCCCGAGCCATTCCTTCATCCACCATTGACTGGTCAGGGGTGACATCTAAAAGAACCAAAACCTGTAGGAATGAACAGTGTACACCATGACAATCAAATATAGAAAAAACAGCTCTTTCAAACTCAGCAAAATAGTGTTTAAATTTTTAGAAGTCTATAATGCAACACCATTCAATCACAAAACTGAGTCAAAGACATGAAATTAGTCTCTTTATAGTTTGAGTCCTCCATTGTAAACAGTTATTTCCACATCTGCAGAAAAAGGTGCAACTTTTCAATTTTCTTCTGAAGGGTGTTGCTCACAGGAGATATCCTCAGATGTCCTGAGACCAACTTAAACCACTTCAGTATTGAGAACTGCCTTGAGAACCCCATGGACAGTATGAAAAGGCAAAAAGATGTAACACCAGAGATGAGCCCCCCCCCCGGTCAGTAGGTGTCCAATATACTAATGGGGAAGAACAGAGAAATAGCTCTAGAAAGAATGAAGAGGCTACGCCAAAGAAGAAACAATGCTCAGCTGTGAATGTGTCTGATGGTGAAAATAAAGTCTGATGCTATAAAGAACATATTGCATAGGAATCTGGAAAGTTTGGTCCATAGGTCAAGGTAAATTGGACATGGTAAAACAGTAGATGGCAAAAGTGAACGTTGACATCTTAGGAATCAGTGAAGTAAAATAGATGGGACTGGGAGAATTTGATTCAGATGATCATTATATCTATACTGTGGGCAAGAATCCTTTGGAAGAAATGGCATAGACCTCATGGTCAATAGGAGTCCAAAATGCAGTACTTGGGTGCAATCTCAAAAATGGCAGAATGATCGTGGTTCCCTTCTAAGGCAAACCATTCAACATTACAGTAATCCAAGTCTATGCCCCAACCACTAATGTCAAAGAAGCTGAAGTTGACCTCTTCTATGAAGATCTATAAAACCTCTAGAACAAACACCAAAAAAAGAGGTCCTTTTCATCACAGGGGACTGGAAAGCAAAAGTAGGAAGTCAAGAGATACCTGGAGGAACAGGCAAGTTAGGCCTTAGAGTACAAAATGAAGGAGGGCAAAGGCTAACAGAATTTTGTCAACAGAACACACTGGTCATAGCAAATACCCTCTTCTAACAACACAAGAGACAACTCTACACATGGATATCAACAAATTGTCAACACTGAAATCAGATTAATCATATTCTTTGTTGCCAAGGATGGAGAAATTCTATACAGTTAGTAACAACAAGACCTGAAGTTGACTGTGGTTCAGATCATGAGCTCCTTACTGCCAAATTCAGACTTAAATTGAAGAAAGTAGGAAAAACCACAAGACCATTCAGGTATGACTTAATCAAATCCCTTATGATTATACAGTGGCAGTGACAAATAGATTGAAGGGACAAGATCTGGTAGACAGAGTGCCTCAAGTACTATGGATGAAGGTTTCTAACACTATACAGGAGGTGGTAACCAAAACCATCCCCAAGAAAAAGAAATGCAAGAAGGCAAGTGGTTGTCTGAGGAGGACTTACAAATAGCTGAGAAAAAGAGAAGCAAAAGGCAAAGGAGAAAGGGAAAGATATACCCAACTGAATGCAGAATTCCAAAGAATAGCAAGGAGTGATAAGAAAGCTTTTAAAAATGAACAATACCATGAAACAAGACGAAAATAACAGAATGGGAAAGACTAGAGAACTCTTTAAAAAATTAGGTACCAAGGGAACATTTCACGCAAAGATGGGTACAATAAAAGACAGAAATGGTAAGGACCTAACTGAAACAGAAGAGATTAGGAAGAGGTGGCAAGAATACACAGAAGGACTATAGAAAAAATATATTAATGACCTGGATAACCATGATGGTGTGATCACTCACCTAGAGCCAGAAATCCTGGAGTGTGAAGTCAAGTGGGTCTTAGGAAGTATCATTATGAACAAAGCTAGTGGAGGTGATGGAATTCCAGTTGGGCTATTTCAAATCCTAAAAGATGAATGCTATGAAAGTGCTGCACTCAGTATGCCAACAAATTTGGAAAACTCAGCAGTGGCCACAAGACTGGAAAAGGTCGGTTTTCATTCCAATACCAAAGAAGGGCAATGCCAAAGAATGTTCAAACTACCATACAATTGTGCTCAATGCTAGCAAGGTAATACTCAAAATCCTGCAAGACAGGCTTCACAGGTTCACAGTATGTGAACCGAGAAATTTCAGATGTACAAGCTGGATTTAGAAAAGGCAGAGGAAGCAGAGATCAAATTGCCTACATGTGCTGGATCATAAAGAAAGCAAGGGAATTCCAGGAAACCATCTACTTCTGTTTCATTAACTATGCTAAAGCCTTTGAATGTGTGGATCACAACAAACTGTGAGAAATCTTAAACAGATGAGAATACCAGACCATCTTGGCTGGCTCCTAAAAAACCTGTATGCAGGTCAAAAAGCAGCAGTTAGAACAGGACATGGAACAATGGATTGGTTCCAAATTGGGAAAGGAGTATGGCAAGGCTATATATTGTCAAACTCCTTATTTAACTTATATGCAGAGTACATCATGTGAAATGTTGGGCCAGATGACTCACAAGCTGGAATCAAGATAGCCAGGAGAAATATCAACAACTGCAGATGATGCCACTGTAAAGGCTGAAAAAGAGGAAGTAAAGAACCTCTTGATGGAGAAAGAAGAGGGTGAGAAAAAGCTGGCTTAAAACTCAACATTCAAAAAACAAAGACCATAGCATCTGGTCCCATCACTTCCTGGCAAACATACAAGGAAGAAATGGAAAGCGTGACAGATTTTATTTTTTTGAGCTCCAAAATCACTGTGCATGGTGACAGCAGCCACGAAATTAAGAGACACTTGCTCTTTGGAAGAAAAGCTATGACAAACTGAGACAGCATATTAAAAAGAGACATCACTTGGCTGACAAAGTTCTGTATATGCAAAGCTATGGTTTTTCCAGCAGTCACGTACAGATGTGAGAGTTGGACCATAAAGAAGGCTGAGTGCCAAAGAGTTGATGCTTTTGAATTGTGGTGCTGGAGAAGACTCTTCAGAGTCCTTTGGACAACAAGGAGATCAAACCAGTCAATCCAAAAGGAAATCAACCCTGAATATTCAATGAATGTACTGATGCTGAAGCTCCAGCACTTTGGTCACCTGATAAAGAGCCTACTCATTGGAAAAGACCCTAAATCTGGGAATGATAGAGGGCAGGAGGAGAAATGGGCAACAAAGGATGAGATGGTTGGATGGTATCATTGACTCAATGGAGATGACTTTGGTCAAATTTCAGGAGATAGTGAAGGACAGGGAAAGCTGGTATGCTGCAGTTTATGGGCTGCAAACAATCAGACACGACTTAGCAACTGAGCAACAATAACAACAACATGTAACTCTGCTTTCTGTCTAATAAGTAATATCAACTCTGCTAATAAATAAAATCACCCATCATGAAGCTATTACAGCAGCATAACTTTTCATAATAGATTCACTACAAACAAGTGAACTGAAGACCTCAAAGCAGCCATCTCTTGTTTTCTTTAACCATAACCTATTCTATCCACTGGTTTGTGCGATTCAAGACACAATTTCTATAATGGGCCACAACACTTTTTAAAATTGCCACCTTCCTGTCAACTTTATCCACTATTTCATCTTCTCTGTCATAAAGGTTGTCAATGTTGATGTTGTAATAATGACAGTATCACTTCTATTATAGAAGGGAATATATACATATGAATTAGGCACCATCCCCATTTACATTTCTGAGGACACTCAAAGACAACAAACTTGCTCCATTTTATGAAAACACACAGGAGGTAAACTGAAAACCGATGAGTCACGGCAGGGTAACCATGCCCACAACACACAAGTCACACTAAGAAAGTCAGAAGCATCACACGACAACACTTCCGCAAGCACAGCCACGCTCTTCAGGCCTCTCTTATTTGGCTGTGACCAGAAAAGACGACACCTTCTTGCTGGTTACAAACCTTCCCTGGGCCCAATTCCTTCTTTTGTAGTTTTCTCACCGTCAGCTCCTTACACATGGAGCCCACATGGAGTTCTGTCTACATCATATTTAAGAGTCTGTGTATGGCAGTTCCCCAGCAGTTCAGTGGTTAGAGCTCAGTGCTTTCACTGCTGGGGGCCCAGGTTCAATCCCTCGTTGAGGAATTAAGATCCCATAACCTGCACAGTGCGGCCGAAAAAAAAGACCTCATGTCAAGGTTGACTAGACTCACACGAGGTATTCTCCATCATCCCCCATATGGGGAATATTAAGCATAGAGGAACTCCAGCAGGTCCCTTACTCTCACATTGGAAATCTTACAATCTGTCTGTCTGGAGAAGTCTGGTCAAGAGTGAAGAGAGATGCTGTGATCCATCACAACAAAAAAACCCAGACCCCAGAATCCACAACTGTCTGTACTTCCTCTTCAAGGGATGCTCTCTAACCACTCCCACTTCTACCCAGACTTAGCCCTTCTCTGTACTTATTTCTACCAGATAACTTACCAAGTAAGAACAGACTTACTTTTCTATCTCCATGACTGACCCATTCCTTGAAGGGCAGGATTACATCTTTCACATTTTTGTATGACCTGGCACTTACTGGCATGCATAAAGTCACAAAATATCTATTTATACATCCATTAAAGAAATGCATATGTCAAGAAGCTATAATAGAGAAGTTTAATAAGGCCAATCTAAAATAAAAGCTATTTTACCCTAAGACAAGCTGCCAATACTGTCAGGAGGAGCATAGCTATTTTTTCCTCTGATGTTCGTATTTTTTGGTAAAGAAATGTTCTAGGGAATAGAAAAATACCTGGGCATCCGAGTGTGCTTCAAACTGTGTTGTTCCACCTGTTGCCTGATCAAAGGTGTACATGAGGCGGATATCTTCTTCATGCAATTCATGGCCTTCCACAACAATGGTCCCTAATGGAAAAGCAACTGTCACTGTTACTCAATCAGTAACCCACTCCTCAAGCTGCCCTGCTACCAATATACTGTGCCACTCTCTAATAAAAACTTCAATTCATCAAGCTACAGTCTTTAAGAGGTTATGTCTTTCTGACTCATGTCACTGTTGTAGTCAAGGATGAGATAAACTTTCCTTAGACTACACCATGCTATCTTAAGGCCATTTAAATCACCCATATCTACAGCTGTATATAAGTACCTAGATTCAAAAACATGTGCCAGAGGCAACGAATGAATCCTCATCATAAACATGAGCAGCAAGCTATAATGAAGAAAGCACAGCCTGTAGAGTCAAACTAGACTTAGGCCTACTACTCAAAGGCAGTAAAACCCTGGTGTTCTTCTATCTGCCTATCCGGGTACACTCAGGGTGAAAACAGGTAGACAGTGTGAAGGTCTGAGCATCATGCCTATTCATGGTAGGCAGAACATATAAACAGCTGAGGATGGCAATTCCCATTTCCCATACCGTTTACTATAGTAATTCACAAAACAATCTTCTGGGTCTTTGAGCAATGGGCTTTCATTTTCACTTTATGTCACTGTATTCTAAAAACTGCTTTTCATCAATATGGAACAGTTCATTCAGAAACTACAGTTTAAAAACTACAGGCTTCAGTTTCAAATAAAGCTTATTTCAGGAATTTTTAATATTTTGGCTAATTGGTGAAATAGCTTGAGATTTATGACCTGAATGCTGATCAAAGATTTTGTTAATTTAACAAATCAAGTTGAATTAGTACTGATTCAACTTTTAGTTGCAAGCCTCTAATGTTTTATAAATTTTATCTAAAAATTTGGGGACTCTTATGGACATTTCCCCCAATTTCCATAACTACTCATCTGAGTTATGAATCCTTAAATCTTTCATGACACTTCCATGCTTATGATTTTCAATTTCAGAGGGAACCCAAACATTCGAACACCTTGTACCCTAGGGTTGCTGCAGGAAGTCAAAAAGCTGTAATTAGACCATATATGATTCTAATCATGGCAGAGGTCAGGACTCCTGGGCACCTGGAACAGCTTCCTAAACATTTCCTTCAGCACGCTTATCAAAAATATGATTATATCCATACATCTTTAGTGTCTACCAGCACCATGAGGGTAAGGACAATGTCTGTCTTATTCAACTCTATGTTCTCAGCGTCAACAAAACAGAAGGGCTTTAAAAAATATTTGCTGAATGAATGACTCCACTCTTGCTCAACTGAGAACAAAATACGTATTCCAGATATTTTAGAGAAACATTCTAAGTTCTGACACAGTTTTGCAAGAAGCTCCAAACCTCAATTAAATCCTTTTCATTAAAAATACTTAAGTATTTAAAAATTAAAATTTTGAATTAAAATTAAAATATAACTTTCTTCTTTGAATATCTTCTGGTCTTCATTCTGGCAACTCAACTCATCTTTTTCTCTACAAGCAACATCTAATAAGGGTAACACTCTATACCACTGGCTGGTGAATCTGAAGGGTTTTGCTCTCTCATTAGGGTAGATTTTTCCAGGCCCATATTAGCACTTACAGAATTCAATGCTAACTTACGGTTTACCCATCTGACTCAATGATTTCAAGTAGAAACCTAGCTGAAAGTGAAAGCCGCTCAGTTGTGCCCGACTCTTGCAACCCCATGGACTGTATACTCCATGGAATTCTCCAGGCCAGAATACTAGAGTGGGTAGCCTTTCCCTTCTCAGGGGATCTTTCCAACCCAGGGATCGAGCCCAGGTCTCCTGCGCTGCAGGCGGATTCTTTACCAGCTGAGCCACAAGGGAAGCCCAAGAATACTGGAGTGGGTAACCTGTCCCTCCTCCGGTGGATCTTCCCAACCCAGGAATGGAACTGGGGTCCCCTGCACTGCAGGGGCAGATTCTTTAACAACTGAAAGCACCAACAATAAAAGACTGGTTAAAAAAATACCAGGTATCCACAGGAAGGAAAATTTTTGCAACACTTACTGAAATAGCATTTTAAAGACTGACAAAACACAGAAATGTTTATAATGTAAAGTGAAAATGCAAAATAAAAAGGTAAATGAAAACTAAATAATATGAATATTAAAAAGTGAAAAATGTGAAATAAATTATAGACTGATTTCCATTTTGTAAAGCTATAATTATATGACTACATATGTATATAGGATGAACTAAATCAGAATTTTAACAGTGAACTAAATCAGAATTTCAATCTACATTAAAAGGATGGGTGATGGGTTATGGGTCATTTTTATTCTTTTTACTTTACAAAAAAAATAAATTAGCAGAATTATTCATAATAAATATTTTTACGAACAGAAAAAAAGTTCTAATTTAAGGGAAGGCTCCAACAGTAGAAATCAAAGAGGAGGCTAAGTATGAGATATCCATTAGGTTGAGGACACAAATGGTGACCCCAATGGAACAGACACCCACCATTCTCCTGGAACTGCTCCAGCTCTTCATTGCTCAGCTGTTTGATGGATGTCATCACCATCTTGAAAGCTCCTTTCAGACGCTTCCCTAGGACCATGTGATCTGGCTCTGCCTTTAGGCGAATGCCATACTTGTTTTTATCTGTAGATAATGTAACTTTTCGAACATTCAATTCCTATATTTGATAGACATGCAAAAACAAAAATGAAACAAATGAAAACATGTCCACAAAAATTTGAATACAAATATTTATAGCAATAACCAAAAAGTGGAAACAACCCAAATGCTGATCGACAACGAAAGGATAAATAAAATGTGGTATATCCACCTAGTGGACTATCATTATAAAGGAAAGAAGCACTAATCCGTGCTATAACATGAATGAACCTTGGTGCCTAAGTCACAGAAGCCAGACATAGAAGCCCACATATTGTATGATTTCATCTACAGAAAATGTCCAGAGTGAGCACACCCAGAGACAGAAAACAGATTTGTGTTTGCCAGAGGACAGAAGAACCCTGAGGGGAAATGATGCATGAATGATAATTTGGGGTTTCTATTTGGGGTGATGAAAATTCTACAAAATTGTGGTGATGACTGCACAACTCTAACTCAATAACAAGAACTGTAGCATTAGAAATATGGACTTCATGTCTCAGAGGTAACCTTTCCTTGAGCAGTTTAACTATCAATTAATTAACCAGAAGAGTCAGTTAATCATAGTATTTCATGTCTCCATCATGCTAGCAAGTTAAAGAATACTAATGTAGTAGGAAATGGTGACTACACAGTAGGAAATAAGAAAATGAAGTATCATGGAATTGTCAACTGAGGCAAATTATATGGAAATGTTTTGCCATTATACATTACTATATTATTTGATCTCAGAGTGCTCAAGATATTTAAGTATATTCTATTTTTATCCATATCTTAAGCATGTTACAGAATTTATATCTCCTTAGTTATAACTTCTTAAATTTCTAAAGAGTTTTATAAACTCTATTTATCCAGAATTCTCAAGTAATTCAAAACCAAATATAAAAATTATTTTCTATCCTTTTTCTTTTCTTTTTTTTTTTAAAGAACAAAACCCCATTCATTTTTCACATTATCTATATGGTGAAATTTTAACTTTTGAACACAAAATGTTATCAATGATGACCTGGGCCGCCTTAAATATTATCTTTGAAAGGAATAAAAATGAAATTTGAAATATGTATTTCATTTAAAAACACCACAGGAAAAAGCTTTCTGGGAGGACAACTGACAAGACAGTTTAAACTTCTGACCTCAAAACTCCACTTTTAAGAACCTATCCAACATCCACACTGTCAACTAGCAATTGGCACTTGCCATCTACTTATCTGGGCTTCACAGGTGGTACTAGTGGTAAAGAACCTGCCTGCTAACAAAGGAGATGACATAAGAGACAAAGGTTTGATCCCCTTGGGAAGACCCTCTGGAGGAGGGCATGGCAACTCACTCCAGTATTCTTGCCTGGAGAACCCCATGGACAGGTGAGCCTGGTGGGCTACAGTCCATAGGGTGGCAAGGAGTGGGACATGACTGAAGTGACTTAGCACACATGCCTCTACCTGTACCTGTACAACGATTAAATCGTGCTGCTGACCTTCAATAACTCCCTGAAAGGAGTTCAGGGTGGACAGCAGAAATGAGACATTCTGTGCTTGGGGAAAAACTGGCAGGACAGGTCTTCAGATAACTATTTTCAGGAGCTGATTTTATGAGCCCAGTTCTTGTATCTCCCCATGGAAAGGCCCCAAAATCCTTCATGGTGGTAACTGTTCCTTGTGACTAGCAAAGCTTCCCCAGACTAGCAGAAACCTTCTGGAAAAAAAGGTACCTGACTCCATGTATTCCTCCTTTACCAAAATCACATATATACTGACCTTTCCCCACTGCCTCTTAGGAGCAGCTTCTCAGAGCTATCTGAGATGCTATCTCCTGGGCTGCATCCTCATTTTGCCCCAAATAAAACTTAACTCGCAACTCCTCTGTTGTGCATTTTTTAAGTCAACAGTTAACGACATATTTGCGCACACACACACACACACATACAACTTTTATTTATAATCCAAAACATATATTTCCAACAATAGAAGAGTAACTAAATAAATAGTGATGCAGCCAGAAAGTGAATACTATGTATCTGGCAAAAAGAATAAATTAGATCTCTAATGTTTTGTTTTTAAAGGGAGAGTTCTTTAAAAATATTTATTTAAAAATTTTATTTATTTATTTGGCTGTGCTGGGTCTTCATCGTGGCATGCAGGATCATTAATTGCAGCACACGGAATCTAGTTCCCTGACTGAACCGGAGCCCCCTGTACTGGGAGTGTGGAGTCGTAGCCACTGGACCACCGGGCAAGTCCTAGCTCTCTGTTTTAGCATGGAATGTTGTTTAAGTAATACTATAAAGTGGAAACAATAAGTAAAAAACTACATATATGATCATCTCTATTCATAAATAAAACCAGTGATGTGTGTATCTGATGTTGTTTAGTTGCTGAGTCATACCTGACTCTTTGCAACCCCATGGACTATAGCCTGCCAGGCTCCTCTGTACATAGGAGTATCCTGGCATAGGTTGGGAAAATACGGGAGTAGGTTGCCATTTCCTTATGAAGAGGAATCTTCCCGACCCAGGGATCAAATTCAAGTCTCCTGCAGTGGCAGGTGGAATCTTTAGCACTGGGCCACCTAGGTAGCCTGCATGGGTGTAGATCTATGTACAAATGTGTCTACATGTATGTAAAATGCTAGGAACAACCCAGTAGGAGATACCATAGTGAACATCCCTGCAAGTGGGAAACGAGGCGCCAGGGAGTGGCCAGGGTGAGAAGAGACCCTGTCCTGTACCCGATGCTAGTGGTTATTTACAACTAGTGTTTACTTAATACTTGGGTAATTTGAAGGAACTAAGCTTTTTCTTTTTGTTAATTATCAAAAATTACTTTGGGGAACAAAAGCGGATGAAGGGATAAATGATCCGATGAAGGTGAAAAATTCATGGATCTTGAGATCTTGTTAAAGAATTATAATTACAGGGACTTCCTTGGTGGTCCACTGGTTAAGACTCTGTGCTTCCAATGCAGGGGGTGTGGGTTTGATCCCTGGCAGGAAGAACTAAGACGCCACATGCCCCCAGCATGGCCAAAAAATAAATACAAATTCATTTAAAAAATTTTTAAATTACATTGCAAAAATTCATGATGAATCAAAAAGCAAACTGTAAAATTTCACAGATGGTTGCATTTATGTATATACTGATAAAAGAATACTAATCAAAATAATCTTCCCAAGGACAGAAGCCTGTTTGGACCAAATCACACAAATCAACTGTCTTACCTCAATGATATATTTCTCCAAAGACTTAATTTCATTAAGAGCTTCCAGATCTTGATGGATAACAACAATTTCTTTCAAAGGATACTAGAAAGAAAAGGGAAGGGAAAGTTCACTAAGCATCCAGTCTTCTAAACTGCAGAAATATAAATGTTACATGTTCTATCTGAATTTCAAGCTCTAGACTAAGCAGGCTTAACTAGTATTAAGTCATTCACAGCCTTACTGCAAAAAAATTTATAAGCCCTTTATATGAAGAAAATGCTCAAAGACATAATTCTCTAGATCTGTGCAATGTAAAATAGAAATAAAATCTCAAACCTTTATTGGAATAGTTTTGCGGTCTCGAATCACTCTGCCAAGTTCAATCACAGACTGCATTCTAGATACTGCACTCTCAGTTTTCTTGTCGATCAATTCCTCACTGATTGGGAGAGGTAGGAACATAAAAGATATTAGATTTAAAAAGAGAAAATCTCGAAGAAGAAACGTGCTTAGGTGAGGAAGAAAGTTGGACGAGAGGTGAGGGTGTGGTTAGGCTTCCCAAGGGAGGCTCTTGGGAACACAGCGTGACTGCTTTTGGCAGTCATAGTGAGAGGCAAGCTTCAGCCTGATGTTCAGTGCATAGCAGCTCCCCAAAACGATACCAAAGGCCTACCCACACCCTGCATGCCACAACTCTACAGGGGATTCCACCCTCAGCATCCCTCTTATACTCATTCTATAGCCTGAGGAACAGTTCAGCTGGAAGGCATGGCATGGGTGAGCTGGAGCAGGGAGCTGGGGCCCCGACATGAGTGCATCTCTAGCAGCTCTCCTTCCCATGGCCCAGGTAAGGCTTGGGTACATTTGATTCTTACCGAACATGGGGCAGCATGAGGTAGTGAATACTGAACGTGTCCTTGTCCTGGACAGAAACAGGGTCAATCAGTGTCTTCAGATTCTGATACATCAATTCAGTAAGAAAAGGGGTATAGGGGGCCTGTATAAGGACAGAAAACATTATGTCATTCATATGTAGCCATCACTAACTGATCTCAGAGTCAGAAACAACTAAAACATTTTAGAGAAATGACATGGGAATATGCACAGAACCGGACATGAGGTTAACAAAACATGCCTATGAAAATGACTTCATTTTGAACTGGGTGAGACAGACACTTAGAAGCAAAGAAGTAGGACTACAGACAGAAGTGTCCCAAACATCCTTGAAGATGTCCATAATAAAAACAGGAGCCAATGACCACATGCCAGTTAAGTCAACTGCAGAGGAATGAATACTCCTAAAATCTCAGAAATCTTCATCTGTAAACTGGGGAAACTACCTGCTTAATAGGAAGAAGGAATGAGCTGATACATGAGACACCAGGTGGAGGACCTGGTATAAAGCAGGTTCTCATTCCATGTATGTTTAGGAAATAAATAGAAGCTTATAACATTAAGCTGAAAGAGCAGAAATAAGACACAGCAAACTAAAAGTGGAACTTTTACTTATACATCATTTAATGAATATTTCAATTGGTAGGAACATGTCTCAAGTGAAATACTGTTTACAATATATGTATTTGTTTGGTTAGCTATTAGCTCAAGACCTTCCCTGATACTCACAGACAATTACAGAACTTTAAAATACAGAAAAAAATAAAGAACAGATACAGAGGACAGTGCAGCAACTGGGCACCACAAGCAGCCCACAGGACTAGAGTTTTAGAATGGGATCAAGCATCTTACCATAAGTCTGCACAAAGAAAGCAGAACACTAAACAAAGTCTCCAGGGCCATAACACAATCCTCTACCCCATTTTCACCCTAAGAATAAAAAACACACACATTAAACTGTTAAAATCAATAGGTCATTGTAGAGGGAAAAAAAATAAAAAGGTAATAAAAAGGGGAAAACTCAGCCATAATTAAGTTATCCAGAGATAACATAACTACTTTAAACATTTTAATGTCCTTCTAAACATATGTGCATACACACACACACACACATGCACGTGTATGTAATATATTTTAACAAAACAAAATTACTGTTTTGTTACGGGATTTTATCATTAACACATTTGAAGGTAGTACTGATGGGCAGTGGTCTGGGTGCACCTCACTCCCTGTTATAGAGCATTGCTGTTTATGCATAGCTTAAGTTCTGGGATAGGCTCCATGCTTCACTCATCCTATATCCCCAAAGGCTTAATGAAGAGTCTCGTCAACAAGGAACTGTCCCTCTAGTGATAGAAGCGATGAAGTGCCCATCTGAAGATCACAGCTGTACCAAACAACACTTGCAAAATACATGCATGAATTATTTGATTTTAACAGGTCTGTTCAGTACAGTCCTAAATGGCCTGAGACTTTCCCTCTAATATGTTGTGTATAATTGTGTTTTGAAAACATGTGAGATGACTTTTAAACTTAAGGACTCCCCTATCCAAAAAATGGCAGTACAGTTAATATGCAACATAAAAGGAAAAAGACAGCTTCAAAATGTGAGAGCATTTGAAAACGCCCTTTTTCCTTTTGGCTGTTCTCATTTTTCCTCAACTCTCATACTTCCTGCACTTTCTGCTATTCCCAATAGAAGCCTGCACTTACCTTTAATCTTCTACGGTTCATCCGAACATACCAATTGGTCAGAATATCCACAAACTTAACCAGGCGAGGAACCACAGTATAGAGCCTGTAAGCTGAAAGTAAGACAACCAATCAGACAGTGAGAACATACAAAAGTCTTGGGAGCTTAACACAGGGCTGGATACAAGAAAGAGCAAGTAGGCCCTGCCATTCAAGGGCTATCACATCTGTTAGGGAGATAGGTCAGTTTTCATTCCAATCCCAAAGGAAGGCAATGCCAAAGAATGTTCAAACTACCACACAATTGCACTCATCTCACACGGTAGTAAAGTAATGCTCAAAATTCTCCAAGCCAGGCTTCAACAGAACGTGAACCATGAACTTCCAGATGTTCAAGCTGGACTTAGAAAAGGCAAAGGAACCAGAGATCAATGCCACCATTCGCTGGATCATCGGAAAAGCAAGAGAGTTCCAGAAAAACATCTGCTTTATTGACTGTGTGAAAGTCTTTGACTGTGTGCATCACAACAAACTCTGGAAAATTCTTAGAGATGGGAATACCAAACCACCTGATCTGTGTCTTGAGAAACCTGTATGCAGGTTGAGAAGCAATAGTTAGAACTGTACATGGAACAACAGAAGGGTTCCAAATAGGGAAAGGAGTACGTCAAGGCTGTATATTGTCACCCTGCTTATTTAACTTATATGCAGAGTACATTATGTGAAATTCTGGGCTGGATGAAGCACAAGCTGGAATCAAGATTGCCAGGAGAAATATCAATAACCTCAGATGTACAGATGACACCACCCTTATGGGAGAAAGTGAAAAAAAAAGAACTAAAGAGCCTCTTGATAGTGAAATAGGAGAGTGAAAAAGTTGGCTTAAAATTCAACATTCAGAAAACTAAGATCATGGCATCTGGTCCCATCACTTCATGGCAAATAGATGGAGAAACAGTGGAAAGAATGACAGACTTTATTTTTTGGGGTTCCAAAATCATTGCAGATGGTGACTGCAGCCATGAAATTAAAAGACGCTTGCTCCTTGGAAGAAAATCTGTGACCAACCTAGACAACATATTAAAAAGCTGAGACATTACTTTGCCAACAAAGGTCCGTCTAGTCAAAGCTATGGTTTTTCCAGTAGTCATGTATGGATGTGAGAGTTGGACTATAAAGAAAGCTGAGCGCCGAAGAATGGATGCTTTTGAACCGCAGTGTTGGAGAAGACTCTTGAGAGTCCCTTGGACTGCAAGGAGATCCAACCAGTCCATCCTAAAGGAGATCAGTCCTGAATATTCATTGGAAGGACTGATGCTGAAATTTCCAATACTTTGGCCACCTGATGCGAAGAACTGACACAACTGAAAAGATCCTGATGCTGGGAAAGATTGAAGGCGGGAGAAGGGGACAACAGAGAATGAGATGGCTGGATGGCATCACTGACTCAATGGACATGAGTTTGAGTAAACTCTGGTAGTTGGTGATGGACAGGGAGGCCTGGCGTGCTGAATCCATGGGATTGCAAAGAGTCGGACACGACTGACTGACTGAACTAAACTGAACTGAACTGCTGCCCAACTTCTAGTTTCCTGGCAGACCAGGACCCAGTCAGAGTGTACATCCTCAGGTCACACTATTGCTGCCTAAAGATGGCAAGGGTTCCCTGGCAACAATCCCATTCATTTATATCACTCAAGAGGGAAAAGTGGGCATGGCTAATAATACATGTTTCAGGGAGTGTGGTAAGTCAGATTCGCATACTCATTTCCATTTTCACTCATGTCAATCTGTCCAGTAGCTTGACAGTCATATGACCCTTATTATATATGTTTAAAAGTGGGCAAAGTCCTTCAGGAAGACTGATAAAACATTCAAAATTTCCTGGACAAACCATCCAATTATGCCAAGTACAGAGGCATCAACTGTTCCATGAAGAGCTATGTATCAGCTGAGGAACTGAAGACCCCTCCGAGGAACTGAAGACCCCTCCATGAACCACCTGACTGCTCTGGCCTCTTAAATCCACTGGAGTGCTGTACCTGAGTAGCAGCACCTGGCAACCACAGGATGCTCTGGGAGGGTGGTTTATGTCACCAGGGTGCACACAGGGATGCCATTTTTTCTCCACTGCCCATCGACTTTATCAGACCCACATACACTCAGACCCATCTCAGGTATCCTGGTTAATAGTTTCTTGAATTTCTCACCTTGACTTATGGTTGTCTATCTCCAACTTTAAGGAAACCAATATAACCTACCTTTTCAACCTGTCTAAAAACAAAATTCATTGTTGTTAGGTAACAGAAATGTGGGGAAATGTCAATTTCATTACTGTGTTTCTGAATTTCCTAATTTTTCCAGTCTACTTATTTAATAAAGTGGATCTAAAAATAAATTTAAAACATATTAGTAACAAGTACTACTTATTAAGAACCTGTCATCTGCTAGCTACTGTATGTATAGTTTCTATCTAAGTCTTACAAAAACTATTACCAGGCACTTTTTGGAGATAGAAATTGAGCCTCATAGACTAGACGATGCTTCCGCCAGGGAACAAGTAGTGTTCAAGTTGGGATCTGAACCCATGGGCATCCACTACTGAAGCCTGTGATTCCTTGGACCTGTGTGGTATCTGTGGAGGGGTAAGGCCACTAGATATCCCCTCAAGACAATCTCTCAGGCCTGGGAGCAATACATTTCTACAACAAACAAGCCTTAAAATTATATTTGAGAAGTAAAAAGAAACATTTATTTATCTATTGCTCTGCCTCTCTCTCAAAATTTTTATAAAATTTCCTCTATGTTTAGAAAACCACACACCTATGGTCAATTAATCTTCCACAAATGAGACAAGAATACACAATGGAGAAAAGATAAGTCTCTTCAGCAAGCGGTGTTGGAAAAGCTGGAAATCACATGTAAATCAATGAAATCAGACACTCATTTACACCATACACAAAAATAAACTCAAAATGGCATTAAGACTTAAATTAAGATATGACACCATTAAACTCCTACAAGAGAACATAGAAATGGGAATAAATACAAATGGGATGTAATCACACATAAGCTTTTGCACAGGAAAGGAAACTATGAATAAAACAAGACAATCTGTGGACTAGGAGAAAATATTTGCAAACAATGTGACTAACAAGGGCTTAATTTCCAAAATATACAAACAGCTCATACAAAAAAAAAGGAGGGGTGGGGTGGGGAATGGGCAGAAGACCTAAATAGACATTTTTCCAAAGAAGACATACAGATGGCCAATAGGCACATCAAACCATGTTCAACATTGCCAATTATCATTTACACCAGTCAGAATGGCCATCATTAAAAAAGCCCTCAAATAACCAATGCTGAAGATGATGTGGAGAAAGGGAACCTTCCCCTACACTGTTGGTAGGAATGTAAACTGGTAGAGCCCAATGGAAACTGTATTGAGGTTCCTTAAAAAACTGAAATCCTAACTTGAAAAGATTCATGCACCCCAATGTTCACTGCAGCACTATTAACAACAGCCAAAACAGGGAAGCAACCTAAAAGGCCATCGACAGAAGAACAGATACAGAAGATGTTCGTGTGCACACACACACACAGAGGAATGTTACTCAGCAATAAAAGGAAAGCAATAATATGAAATAAAGCCATTTGCAGCAACATGTATGGACCTAGAGAATATCATACTAAGTCAGGAAGAGAAAAACAAATACCATAAGATATCACTTATACGGGAAATCTAAATAAAATATCATACAAATGAACTTATTTACAAAATGAAACAGGCTCACAGACATTTAAAAAAACAAACAAACAAAAAAAAAACCTTACAGTTACCAAAGGGGAAATGGGATGGGGAAGGGATAAATTAGGAGTTAGGGATTAACAGATACAAACTGCTATAAATTAAATAAACAACAAAGTCCTATTGTGTAGCATAGGGAACTATAATCAAAATCCTATAATAAACCATAATAGAAAAGAATGCGAAAAAGAAAAATATATATATATATCTGAATCATTTTGCTATACACCAAAAACTAATGCAACATTGTAAATTGACTATTCTTCAAAAAAAAATTTTTTCCCCATGTTTATAAAGAAAAAAAAATTTTATAATTACTCTAGAATCTTTATTCCTGGGAGGAAGGCCGAAAAGAGACATACCTGCCATTTCAGTCTCAAAGAACCCAATGAGCGACTGCATAAAGGACAGGATCCACCGGTCTGTGATGTTGGTACTTTCTTTAACCATGTTCTCGTTGTAAAGGAATTCCATTTCTTCTTCCTAGAAGTGACAATTATTGAAACTTTTTGCATACATGGGGGAAACCACTGTAAGGAAACGAACTCTTTAAATGATTTAAACTGAAAGAACTAGCCAAACAACAACAACAACAAATCACAAAATACAGACTCTATGGGCAATCTAAATTTCTGATTCTTAGCAGTATTTTCCAAGTAAGTGCTAAATTTGGAATGCTAAGTCCTCAATTAATGAAATACATTTCTGAATGAACTAAAGAGAATTTAGGAACATTTTTTAGGAAAAAATTTTTCCTATCATCAAAGAGTAATTATGAATTAAGAAATATTTCAAAATGCTGTCAGTAAGTATAGTGTTTAGTTACCTTAAATCTGAGGAAGGATAGACAGTAAAACTGGGTAGGAATGGACAACTATCTATAAGCTGAAAATGAATACTAGGAGTTAATATCTTTGCTTAATTTATTTTACCCAGAATGCTCTACTTACCTGCTGCTTTTTCCTTTGCAAATCCTCCTTGATCCTTAAGGCCCACTTCACCTGTCCCTTCTCAACAGCATTACCATCAGGGTGGCAAGGCAGCAACCACACTGACTCTTGCCCTGATTTAAGCACCCAATGCTGTAGTCTCCATCTTTTTGCTATGCCCAGATGAGCCCCAGGGATCAGTGGTTTAACCCAGTCTGTTTTCTTGAGTTCCACACAGGCAGAGGTCTGCAAAGTAGACCCACTTCATGACTACTGGCCTGAGAGGTGATGGGATCAAAAAGAAGAACAACACTAGGGCCTGGAGAAGACCCTGTTCTTCCTGGGGGGGTTCATTAGCAGACCAAGATGAACCAGAGGCAGCAAAACATATGGGGACTTCTCAGGGGATGCTTCCCAAGTCAGCAGGTAACTGCTCTGAGACACCTTCATGTATATCACAACCATTGTTTTTCATCCCTGCAACTCAATGAGAATTTTTCTTGGAGTCTCAGCCCAAATGCCCTCATGAAGTGGCCTTCCTTGACCACTCAGAGGCAGCAGCCTTTACGAGGCACTCACTATGACAGTAGCTGACTCTTTGCTTGCTCTCTCATCATGAATTTGGCTGGCTAAATGAATATCAAATGCAACTCGTCTTAAACAGGTGAAGCATCTGTGTCTGGCAGAGGTGAGCATCTGCCCAAATGGCAAAGCTCCAGTCCTGTTCTCCTGGGCTCAGCACAGCCCCCAGACAACTGTTGCACCTTCACCTATGGCCTCTCCAATGGCTCCGAGCCCCCCCTTCCATGGGGCCTGCGCAGCCGAGTCTCTCATGGAACTCCACCTCACAGCTCAGCCCTGACTATCTTTTGCAAACCTCTATCACTGGGGCGGACCCCGCTCCCAGCACTGCAGCCCTACCTTCTGCAGCCTTAGGACGTTCTGGATGAAGAAGCGATAGGCATTGAACCAAGGGAGCAGGACATCCTTCAGCACATCTCGGACACCCTCCTCCTTAAAGCGGAGGTTTTCTGCTCTCACCACAGGGGAGTTAATCAGGTACAGTCTGGAAGAAGAAAAAACTACACAGAAACGGAATGGAGACAATGAACCAAATGCTACTGACATGTTGATAGGGTAATACCCATATCAGCACTTCTTCTGCAAAATGGGGACATTATAAATACTTTTCAAACAGTCCACTCAAAACTGACAAAGTTCTCACTTTGTGTAAGAGATCTAGAAAATTCTAAAGGGGAGACCAAGAGTGCCACACCAAAATATGGCACTGGACTGACCTAGAATCATGTCCTGGGCTGGTTTTGGCACAGGTCCCAGAAGCATGGCAGCACCAAGAGGAAGTAACCAGGCCCTCCTCCCAGGACAGTATGTTTAGGCATCAGGGATTCACAAGGAACAGCCACACAAGCATTTTGCCAACATAGAGGGGCTCAGAGGGCAGAGGCCAAGGAGAGTGTTAAACACCCTGCAGACAGCCTTCAATACAAAGAATAATCAGGCCAAGGTGTCATCTACGCCAAGGTTGAATCTAACAGATAACTGGGGTTGCAGGACACTGAATAAACTGTTCCCAGGCAACATGGGAACTGTGAACATGCTTGCCCAAAGGCCCTGGGTGTGGGTCTCTGTGTTAGTAACAGGAGGATGCAGAACAAGATCTCCGTGGTTCCTTTTAACCTGAGCACTGAAAGTTTATGACTCTATTTCACGCAGTATCTTTCTCTAAAAAATTTTCAGTATTAATTTTTATTTGCTCTAGCATAAATGTACCTCATATGGTTATCTGAGGAGTAAGTGCAAATTAGAAATAAATGATATAAGAGAATTTTATTACCAACAAGACAGAGAATCTACAGAAGTGAGGCAGAGGCACCAGCAACTAACTTGGAAGTACCTGTGCTACTCAATAAAATCTAACACAGAGTCTCATCTTCCAAAAGACCTCCAGATTTAGAAACATCTTTACAATTTAGAAAACCATCTTGGGGGTTTAAAGTCAATAACATACCATTACAATTCCATGTAACAGATGTGCATTTTTTAAAAAGAGCTAACTATAAACCAAATTAACAGAATGATTAGTATCACTGAAACCATGATTGTATCATGAAATGTCAGATGCTTACGTAAGAGATGACAGATACACACAGATAGAGGACCGGTCTGTACCTGAGGGCATCAGCACCATATTTATGAATGACTGAAAGTGGATCTGGATAATTCTTTTTGCGTTTGCTCATTTTTTGACCATCACTTGAAAAACAAAAGGGAGACATCAATTAAATAAGTCAACATCACAGTTTATATATGGTTACAGATTATCTACAATTTGGAATACGTAAGTGCAAATGGGACACAAGCTACTATTAAGGCACAACAATAAGGCTGTTTTGTTAATATCTGTGTAAGCTTCTTTCAGACTACTGTAGTGAGTAAATGGAGACGTTTCAAGATAAATGGCAGCAGGACGATATGAGAGTATAACAGTTCAAAAACATAGCTTTTGCATTTATCCCAGAGAAATGAAAACTTCTATTTACACAAAACCTATGCAGAAAAGTTCAGTTTTATTCATAGTTGGCAAACACTGGAAACAACCCCAATGTCTTTCAGCAGGTGAAAGATCAAACTGTGGGTCATCATGGAACACTGCTCAGCAAGGGGAAGGAACTATGGATACATACAACCACCTGAGGGATCTCCAGGGAATTACACTGAGCAAAAAAAGTCAAGCACAAAATTGGATATGAATCATTTATGTAACATACTTGAAATGACAAAATTACAGAGATGGGCAATAGATTAGTGGTTGCCAAGTGGTGGGGATTAGGGTTGAAGGCTGAACTGGGTGGGGTATGAAGGGGTAGAGTAGGTATGGCTATAAAAGGGCAATAGAGACATCATCCTGTGATGCTGAAACAGGCCCAGTATCTTGACTTGTGCTGGTGGATATAGGAACCTATACACGAAATATTGCATGCAATGGCAAATGAGTGTAACTGGGGAAATCTGATTAAGATTGGTAAACCGAATAACAGCTCTGATCTTGACAATGTGCTATGGTTTCAAGAAACATGACCACTGGGGAAACCAGGCAACGCACATACGTGGTCTCTATTAATTTTCACAGCTATAATTCAGTAAGATTTCTATTTTTTTTTTGAAAGCACAGACTGTAGAGGCAGACTGTGTAGGTACAGAACTAGAATTTATCACTCTTTTGCAGTGTAACCTTACTTCTTCTGCACCTCAAATGCCTCAAACGTTGAACCAGACAATTAAAGGACCCTTTTCAAATGGCTCTGGGAGTAAATGAGTAAAGATGTATAAATGCTCAAAACAGGGCCTGGGACAGTGCTAGGTGTCATCCCTCACTTTGAAGGGCACATGAAGCAAGATATCTATGTAAAAGGATTTATTTTCTTGGTTTTGTTTTTACTTTTAATAACTAGAGGCAACAGAAGCAAAGGAAAAAATAAGAGTCCTCCATTATAAGCCTCCAGAACTAATAGCGTCTTCATATATTAAAAAGAGGACAACTAAAACTACATTAAAGGACCAGTTCACAGATTAAATAAGAGCTATAAGCAAAAGTACTTTATAAAACTCTAAATGACAAATGTTATTTTATCATTAGTAGTATAATGGGACACATGTCCCCCCCTTGGTCCTCCTCCATTAGGCTTAGTTCTTAATGCAGCCCTTCTCGTAAGATAGAGGGATATGTAGAGATAGAATGCTACAGGTGGAGAAGGACAGAATTGGATGAAAACAGAAAACAGAAAGAAGTATAAAAGTAGAAGGAAGGAAAGAATAGGAACAAAACTGTGCATTCCTAAATTCCTCTATTCACAGAGAATGGTTAGAGCCAACCAGAAAATGCTGTGAGAACAGAGGAACTGGAACTCATCATTATACAAGGGAGTGCACCTGCCTTGCCAGGACAAGTCCATTCACAATCACATTTTTGAATGGTGGCCGTCCAAAGAGAGATGTGGCTAGCACCAGCAGGGTGTAAAACCTAGGGAAAAAAAAACACACAAAGAAACAGTTTAATAAAATAAGAAACAGAATTCATGCATAGGAAAGAAAACTGTGTTTACTTATTGGACTGAATTTCTATTTTAGGTAAGTAACATTTCTTGATAAGCACTTAAAGCAATGGTTCTTAATCCTGATGCTATCAGGATCATCTTGGGAGCAGTAACAATTAAGGACAGGACCCACTGTAGACCAATCATGTTAGAGCTTTTCACTAGGAATTTATTTAAATAAAACTCTGGAGTGAGGTACTGACTCTCTGCTGGGGACAGTACTATCACCTTCCTTGGGGAGCTAGTTGGACAGCCACAGGCAGAGGTGGGCAATGCTGGGTGTTCTCTCAGGACCCCCCAGAAATGCCAGGCTGAAAATCCAGAGACGTATGCTGCCTTTATCACAAGGTCATAGGGGACAGCCGGATGACAAAAGATGCAAAAAGCACTCTTATCCAAAAGTCAAAAGCTAGACTGTAGGAACATAGAAAATGTTTTCATTATATCAGATATCATTCATGCCATTTATTTGCTAGCTAGATTGTTTCCTAAAAGAACTACATCACACGCATATAAGCTGTCCCAGGGTCATCTAGGACCGGATTTTGCAGCCGAAGAACATCACCAGACACAGCTGATAAGGATGGGAGACCAGATGCCTTGAATAAATGATCGGATATCCCCTCCTCTGAGGGCAGGTCAGTAGGACCATAGTTCTTAAGACAGGTAGACCATGCCTGACAGAAGCGGAGGGAGGCAATGTGCACATGTGGACCCATATAACAGCTTTGCACAGTTGCCAGACCTAGAAATTCCTCAGAGAAACAACTTACTGGTGAATCATCTGGCTCTCTCTTTAAGAATAGGAGCTTGTGCGTGATAGCTGTTCCTATAGAAAAACGGACTGAAAGCTAAAAATAGTACATTCCAGAACATTAAGACTGGAATTCCAACAGTAGAGTAGTAAAGACAGAAAATGACACCAGCATACATTACTAATAAAAGTATAATAAGAACGTGGGTCAGTCCAAAAACATTGTTTTTTGTTTCTTTTTTACTTCTTAATTTATTTTTATAGAATCTGAGCTGGCTGAAGAGTGTCAGGGTTCAGCAACAGCTCAAGGAAGGATGGAATTATCTGCTGGTCCTCACCTCCCAAGGTCAGGGCGAAGGAGATTTCCTGCCAACAGTTGTAACTCCTCTCAGCTTCCAATCAATGCCCGTGGCTCAGGTAGGGGGATAAGGAGCGAGGAGGGGGAAGGCTCCTGAGGCTCCCACACTGCTTGCTTCTCCCTCCTCCCCTTTCTCTTTGCTTCCCAGCAGAGCACAGCTGACCTGAGCCAGCAGTTGGAGGGAGGTGGATGGGACAGAGCACCAAGAGGAAGGGGTCCTCAGCCCAAGGAGGAAGGGACCTAGCGCGCCACAACCCTGCACCTACCCATGGGAGGAGATGACGGGACAACTGGTATTACTGTTAGTGGTCACAACATTCAGTTCCCGCCTGATATCATGGGGCAAACAGGACTTGACCAGGTTATACTGAATCGCAGCCAATTTGCAGTCTTTAGATTATGGCTAAAGACCAAAGTGCGTAAGTCAAAATGATCTATGAGGTCAAATTCATCTCCCAAGCTCTCCCACAGGAGACAGACTGATACCCCCAAAGAGGACAATCTTGTCACCAACAATACAGCAGGGTGGGTAGACAGTCCAGCCAGGCCTCAGACTTCGTGTCAAAGACTCAGATGCAGTTGCAGTATATCTCACTGTTGGAATGGAATGGCTCAAAATGGCTGGCAGGAGCCCCAAAGACATACATGTAACTGTCCAGCATTGTGGCCCATTTTCAGGAAAGCATCAGATAAAACCAGGGTCCTCCTGACCTGCCCTCAGAGGAAGGGGTATTTGTTTGGTCTTAGTTGTAGCACATGGGATCTCTGATCTTCCCTGCAGCATGTGGGTCCTTCAGTTACACAAGCAAACTCTTACTCCCATCATGGGCTTTCTTCCTTTTTTTTTTTTAAATTTTAAATCTGGATCTTTCACAAAGTTAGGAGGCTAGCCTTAATACCTGAGTACATTTTCAACTATTCCTCAATTTTGTAGCAACCTCCCCAATATCTTGTATGTAAATACCCACTAAATATTTCATTAATGATTTGAAGTAAACAAACTAAGAGGGACATATATTGTTTTGTATCACTTAAACTTCCAATATAATAAATCTCTGTATTCAAAAATGTCAAAGAAATAATTCAAACTCTAAAACTACCACAGTAATGTAGTGAGAGATACCTTCTCAAAAGACACTTCTATGGTATGCGGTGGTAAAGCCCAGAGGGCAGGAGCAGAGGCTATCTTATCTGATACAATCTCCCCAGCACCCAGCTGATTAATACAAAGTAAAATACCTGCTAAGTTAAATCAAATCAATAAATCACTTTAAAGAACAAGGAACATACCATCCTCTGGTTTGGTCAATGCCTTCAGCAATGAAGTCTGCAGGAAATGCATCCTCAAACTCCCTCTTGTTTTCAAATGGATAATGAATTTGAGCATATGGCATGCTGCCACTCTCGAACCAACAGTCAAACACTTCAGAGATGCGATGCAACAATCCCTTTCCACAGCGTGAAGGAATGGTCAAATGGTCAATGCTGGTAAACAAAGAAGTAAATGAAGAAGTAGCTGCTTCAATTAATTTTAAGCAAAACAGAACATACAGTTTAATTGCCAAAAGGAAACATAATGCTCTCACAGCTCTCTTATATGCATCTGCAAACAGAAATACTGGCAATTATCACAGGCTTTCAGAAAGTGTCATCAGTGCTCAGTCTGGAAGGTTATATATATTAAAGTCTCCTGATATCTAACTCAAGGACAGACACCACCTTTCCTCAATATGACATGAATCATCAACAGCAAAGTAATTTAGCAAACTAGTGTTTGAATTCTACATGGAGCTCTATGATCTGTAACAGAAACCATGTCTTAACAGGCTAAGACCTAGCCCGATACTCTCTGAATGACAGAACTGAAGTGAATCAAACATGCAGAAACTGACCTCTCTCTGTGGAGATCTGAGATCTTTGTTCCTGATAGTTCTTCCAGTTCTGCTATTGACCCAATACATACTACCTGTCAAAGATAAAAGGCCTCAGAGTCAAAGATCACATGCAGTTAATTTATGTAACATTTATTTTTAGGTTTAGAAACCTTTCATCTTCACAACAGTTATCATCAATGTGGCTCCTAATCAAAGACTGTAGGAAACTGTCTGAATAGGTGAGCAGACTTCAATTCTTTGCTACCTATCCCTATATCACAGAAATTCCCGAAATAAGAGAGCATTTCACAGCCATCATCTCAAGTATTTCTTGAGGATTTACTATGTCCAAATCTCTGCCAAAAATAATAAGCCTAAGTGAAATGCCTAGACTATTGCTCTAAGGCATCTGGGTTTATTCCTGGCACCTGAATTTGGCTTTTTAATCTGAAACCTTCTCAAGTCAAAGTTGGAACTAATTTATTGTGTATGAAGTGGACCAAATAGTCAAGATTGAATGATATTAGGATTATGTTCATGCAAGAAGGCTGGGAAAGGAACCTGGCAGGGGCTATTCATAATGGGGAGTCATCAAACAGGAGCCAAGTTCCTGACTTACACCAGCAGGAGCTGCTGTAGTTCACACCCAGAGGACATCTGCTATCTAATAACACACACAGCCTTCTCTTTCTCTGCCCTTCCCGCTCAGTTCTGAAAAGCCCTCTGATTCAGTTATTTCACTCTTGCCTTTCAGGTCCCAATCAGAGATTTACTGAGGTCCCTAGGCTGTGGCTCCTCATAACCGTTCTAATGCTCTTAGTATTCAACACAGGAAATACATCTATATGTCTGTTATTATTTATTTATACACACACATACAAACATTTGATTTTATAGACTAAAGGTCTGTAATCCTCTGTTAATTTTTTTTAAGTTGTCCTTTTTATCACTAAAAGCTTGTTTCAATATGCTGCCACTTAGAGCAGGGCATGGAGTCTTCTCTGTTCATCAAAAACTCAGAGGAAGAAAAGAATCTAAGTAACACAAGATAAACAATGTGAGGATTTCCCAGAGACAAATACAACTTGCATTCTTTGCTTTTACACAAAGGAAAATTTAAAACTATATTTAATTAAAGTAAATATAACATAAATTAAAAACATATTCTTATTTATGTCATGATTTTAGGAAGGAATAAAGAGAGAAAAAAAAACTGATGAAATAAGAAAGGAATGAAGTAATAAAGAAACCATATTCTTTTACCCCACACTGAGATATATGAACGAGGTGCTTCTGCAAAAATCAAGACAAGGATACACTGCCCTCCTGCCTTGCCTCACCTCCTCGAAGTCACTGCTGACCCACAGTGGGATAGGAGTGCCCCAGTATCTGTTTCTGGAAATTGCCCAGTCACGTGCATCTTTCAGCCAATTTCCAAATCGCTTTTCTCGCACAAACTCTGGAACCCTGCAATAAACAGATCAGATCACATCAAAACATTAGTAAGTAAACTTATAAAATTACATCTGCATAAGTCTTTGTATTATCCTTTGTGAAACTAACACTCTGGAATCTGTGCGCTCACTTCTAGGAGAATGTTTTCTACAAGGACAGTACCAAAAAACCCACAGTGCTTGTTTCTGCTGTGAATTCATCCCCGGGAAGATGCTCTGTAATATGAAACTCCACAGCACATAAGCTTCCCAGTCCTGCTCTCCAACTGCAGGACTGCTGCAATTCTTTAACTGATCATCCTGATCCTACTCAGACTAGTCTTCCAGTCAACCACACAATAGTACTTTTACTAAAAGTCACTAGGTAAGGGCTCCTAATCGCCTATAAAGTAAGAGTGCGAACGAGTGGGGCTATTTGCAGTCGGTGGGCAGCTGCCTCTCCAGGCTCACCTGCAGCCCTTCTGCCACTGCACTTCAGGGTCCAGCAATAAGGCAAGTTCCGTAGAATGTAGCTGCTTACTTCACTGCCTCAGCCTGTGCCAGCCCTCCACTTTGATAACCTTCAACTTGCCACCCTCCTTCCTTTCGTCACCCCCTTCCCCAAGGTTCCTACAGCTTCTGACTGGTAAATGACTCCTTATTCTTTAAGGTTCAGCTTTGCAGAAAATCTTGCCAAGCTCAAGGCTGAGTTAGGGCACCCTTTGGCTCCAAAATATCCTATATGCTCAGGCACTGCAATTAACATCCTAGGTCAGTTTATAGGCCTGTACCCTCTCCCCACAATTCCCAATGAGGCAGCCACACTAATATTCCATACTGAGCACTCCAACAGGAAACTAAAAGGTAAAACATGAAAAAAACTACTTTCTCTTGAGAAATCAGGGTCAAGTTACTAAGAAATATACAATTTCCTCTTACTGCAAAGAGATTCTCTCCATTCTTCCAAAGTCAAATGCACTATTTCTTACTTTCCGCAAGAACTTCTTGGGGGAAGTAAAAAATAGTGACTACCCTCAAAACTCTCAGTGAAAAAATGTTCTTCTGGAATACAAAGATTTAGACTTATATCATTTTTGCACCTACAGTGTACCTGCTCTGTCACCCAGTCACGTCCTACTCTTTGGGACCCCATGGACTGTAGCCTAGCAGGCTCAGTTACCAAGTTAACTGTTGACTACTTCAGTGCCTGTGTTCAGATAACCCTTATTTTTACTTAATAATGGTCCGTAAGTACAAAAGCAGATAACCCTTATTTTTACTTAATAACGGTCCCTAAGTACAAAAGCAGTGATGCTAGCAGTCTGGATACTCTTACTGTGCCTAATTTATAAATTAAACTTCATCACAGGTATGTAAATATGTACAGGAAAAGCACAGTATATAAGGTATAGAGTTCAGTTGTTGTTTCCTCACTAAGTTGTGTCCAACTCATGACCTGTAGCCCGCCAGGCTCCTCTGTCCATGGATTCTCTAGGCAAGAATACTGGACTGGGTTGCACTTCCTTCTCCAGGGGATCTTCCTGACCGAGGGATCAAACCTGTGTCTCTTGCACTGCAAGCAGATTCTTTACCACTGAGCTACCAGAGAAACACATTTAGGATTCAATACTATCTGTGTTTTCAGACATCCACTGGGGTGGTCTTGGAACATACCCTCTATGGCAAAAGGGAAGAACTACTGTAACACCTCTCTGCAGTTTAGATGTTAGCTGAGAACAACAAGGATTCTATCCTTGCAGTGTTTATTTATGGAGCCAGGGTACACAAGCCATCACCGTATTTTAGGAACTCAACAAGGGTCAAAAATAAAGTATTAAATGGCTTCTGTAGTACCTCCACTGATAAATTTTTATCTTGAAAATGATTATCACTTAAAGCTAGGGGACCCTGACAGTTTTCCAAAGTCATTCAGATCAAATGAATGGCAACTTCTCATTTTCACTGTGTTAAGAAATATACTCCCCAACATGTCTTATCATCAGAGGGATTCTACTTCTGTTATACAAAATTATTTAAATTATTTTGTGTTCCTGAAGAAACAAAACAACAAATAGCTATTACTGTACAATTAAAGATGGCTTTTAAAATGATTCTAATTTGGAGGAAGTGTAAACCAACACTAACTACATGAGAAAGGACATTGTGAAGACACACATTTAACTGCTCACCAGTAACACAGGGCATTGTTCCTCAGCAGCTGACCCACCATGTGCTCCACCCTAACGAACCAGCTAGGCACTGCTTTGTAAATGAGCGGCGTGTCTGACCTGGGAAAGCGAAAATGCAGAACGTGGCTGGTCAGACTGAGGTATGCAGGGACCCAGAGTAAGACTGATCTTTAGTTTCTTACTCACATTGCCATCATGTATTAGGCCTTCTACTGCAAATACAAGTGTCTATGTCATCTCCCTCCACAATAGGTGGAAGGTAAAACTTAACAAGAGAAGAACTGTAGTTCTGCTTGTGAGACAGCTGTCTAAGAGGTGATGTCAACCTCAGCAAAGAGGAAACAGGAATGAAATATGATGCCACTGAACATTCCATTTAACCCACATCTTCACAGTATGATGTCTTATATCACATGACAGTTCTCACAAATTCCATTAGAAAATTTTAGAGATACATCTCATCCTAGAGAAATGTGATCTCAACACAAAAGATAGTGGTATAGATCTATTTTTCTAACACCTAAAGATAAAATAACTATATATGTGAATTCATAAAATTCTCATTAAAACAAAAATGAAGTTTTCAAACATTAACTCGAAAGGATACAAATGAGATAGGAACCATGAAGTGACGAAATGGGTACACATATCAAGTATATTCACAAATCTGAAGCTCTCGCTATATTTCATCTCACCTCCAACAGAAAGGGTAGCTATGGGTGAAGGTGCTGGCAACAAGAAGTCGACCTTGTTCCTTTAGAGTCTTGATGATATTTTTGTCAGCATCCTATTTTTAAAAAATTAAAATCTAGCCATTAAAATATCTCACATACTTACTAATGCAATAAAATTAGGTATATTACTAAAATCTGTTATTTTGTTTCCTTTACTGTGAATAAAACACATAAATAACAAAAGTATTAAAAAAAATACTTGATCTACATTTCAGCTATTGTGTAACATTAAATACTTTTTTAAAGTATGTTCCAGACCATTCAAGGTAATGAAATTTTCAATTAGCAGTGATTACCTCAAGGTCACAAAGCTGCTTCCTTAGTCACAAACCAGAGTTCATTTTTTCTGATTCCTACCCTTGAAATTATAGCATGCATCCTCTGAAGATATTAGACCTTGGAAGCAGCTGATCTAATTTTATATGCTGAAACAAAACAAAACCAACCTCCTGGGGAAAAAAAAAATCCCAGATACAAAAGCTATTTAACAAAACGAATTAATAAAAGAAGTAGGATGAAATAAGCCACATAGATACAAACCTTCACATACTGTCCAGCAAAATCTGTCACTTCCGCTGTAAAACAGCCCGAGGCATCCACAGGGCAAATAGGGAGAGAGTCTTTCTGAATGATGTTGAAATCCATACAGACCCGATAATCNTTCACATACTGTCCAGCAAAATCTGTCACTTCCGCTGTAAAACAGCCCGAGGCATCCACAGGGCAAATAGGGAGAGAGTCTTTCTGAATGATGTTGAAATCCATACAGACCCGATAATCATCCTAGGGAAAATGAGAAAGTAGGAGGAAGGGAAGTACAAAACAGTTAAGTGTGGATGTGGCAGGAGAGAAGCATGTGAGGCAACAGATTTACAGAATTTTTCAGTATTCTGACTTATAAATGTAACCAACTTTTCTTATCCTCTCAACTGAAGTTAACTCAAGGATCATTCAGAGAATCCAGAGCCCTACAGCAGCATTTTAGATCTGATAGAGTGCCTGAAGAATGATGGATGGAGGTTTGTGACATAATACAGGAGACAGGAATCAAGACCATTCCCAAGAAAAAGAAATGCACAAAGGCAAAATGGCTGTCTGAGGAGGCCTTACAAATAGCTGTGAAAAGAAGAGAAGCAAAAAGCAAAGGAGAAAAGGAGAAAAGGAAAGATATACCCATTTGAATACAGAGTGTCAAAGAATACCAAGGAGAGATGAGAAAGACTTCCTCAGTGATCAATGCAAAGAAATAGAGGAAAACATCAGAATGGGAAAGACTAGATAAATAGGGAAAGGACTCAAGGCTGTATATTGTCACCCTGCTTATTTAACTTATACGCAGAGTACATCATGAGAAACGCTGGGCTGGATGAAGCACAAGCTGGAATCAAGATTGATGGGAGAAATATCAATAACCTCAGATATGCAGATGACACTACCCTTACGGCAGAAAGCAAAGAAGCCTCTTGATGAAAAGTGAAAGAGCTCTAATAAAAATAAATGAAAAAAAAAAAGTGAAAGAGGAGAGTGAAAAATTTGGCTTAAAACTCAACAATCAGAAAGCTAAGACCATGGCATCTGGTCCCATCACTTTGTGGCAAATAGATGGAGAAACAGTGGAAACAGTGAGAGACTTCATTTTGGGGGGCTCCAAAATCACTGCAGATGACGACTGCAGCCATGAAATTAAAAGATGCTCACTCTTTGGAAGAGAAATTATACGAACCTAGACAGCATATGAAAAAGCAGAGACATTACTTTGCCAACAAAGGTCCGTCTAGTCAAAGCTATGGTTCTCCCAGTAGTCATGTATGGACGTGAGAATTGGACTATAAAAAAGCTGAGTGCCAAAGAATGGATGCTTTTGAACCACGGTGTTGGAGAAGACTCTTGAGAGTCCCATGGACTGCAAGGAGATACAACCAGTCAATCCTAAGGGAAATCAGTCCTGAATACTGTGATGTTGAAGCTGAAACTCCAATTCTCTGGCCACATGATGCAAAGAACTGACTCATCTGAAAGACCCTGATGCTGGGAAAGATTGAAGGTGGGATGAGAAGGGGACGACAGAGGATGAGATGGTTGGATGACATCACTGACTCAACGGACATGAGTTTGAGTAAACTCCGATAGCTGGTGATGGACAGGGAGGCCTGGCGTGCTGTACTCCATGGGGTCGCAAAGAATCAGACACAACTGAGTGACTGAACTGAACTGAACAGCAGGGTAGGAAGCGAGATCAGTCGTCCCAGCCATTACCGCACAAACCCCTAATAGAGCAGAGTATCTACTAAGTAAGAAGAAAGATGACATATGTGAATATATTAGAACAAAATCAAATTTGATTTATAAAAGCAGCATGTATACACACATACATGTATACACAAAGCAGAAGAACAAAGAAATATAAGTCATGTTTAGTATTGGACAATGCTTGATGTGCTTCTGGATTTGCATCCTGTCAAGGAGTGCTGAACATATGGTAAGACTTACCGAAATTCAGATTATCCACTTTATGGGAATTCCCCAGAAGTTCAGTGGTTAGACCTTGGTACTTTCACTGCTAGGGCCCAAGTTCAATACTTGGTTGGGCCACTAAGATCCTGAAAACTGCAAGGCTCAGCATATATAATTAACTAATTAAAACAACCCCCTGCCCCAAACTATTCACTTTACAAATTAACACGGGTCCCAGCCAGCCTGGGTACACCATGATGCTTTAGAAGTATACTTTGAACAGTGTTAACAATAATCTGGGCAAATAGTTATAAAGTGCTGTATCAGACAGTGCTCTGAACACCTGACCACATTTACATTAGCTTATTTAAACCTTTACAACAATCCTGTGAGGAAGGCAGATAGCTGTACTAGGTTTTCACCATATACTCCCCTCAGACAACCTAGGAACTATCTCCATTTTATGAATAAAGAAGCTGAGGCACAAAGAATTAATCCAGCTGCAAACTGGCAATGCTCAGATTCAAAACCAAATAGCCTGGCTCCAGAGTCCAAGGTCTTTACCTCTTTGCTATGCTGCTTGAAATCTAAAATTAAAGGGATTATCTAGACTAAAAGTAGAACTACACCCTAGTTTGACTCCAAAATAAGCTGGAAAGCCAGTATGGTTCCCCCTGGGCCTATGTTCAATTCTCGTTACGCTGAGAGGCTGTCTGGTGTGAAGTGACATGTGAGTGTGCTAACAGCAAGGGAAGTGACATCCTGGTCATGAAGAGGACCCTGAAAAAGAAACTAAACAGCACAGACAGGGCAAGCCCCAAAGCCCAGCATTTTAAATCATTTAGTATAGAGCAAACAGCCCTGTACAACTCAACTAGCTAAGAGCAGCATTCCTGAACGGAGCCAGAATGATACTCAACATGGTCATGGAGAAGTCCACAGACTCTGCAGAGAGATTATACAGTACACTGTCCGGCTAAGTCGCAACATGGAAAGTCTCTTGGAAAACATCTACCAAGTTCAAAGGCTGAAATTTAAAGATCCGATCTTCTATAACATTAACCTGCCTGGCATTTAGAACAGAGAAGACACCAAGCAGTTACCTCTTCATTATTTATTATCAGTGGAATAACCACAACAGTTGACTCTAAAATTATTATGAATAACGGAAATTCGATCAGTTTCCAAAACTCAATAAATAGTATTATAAGGAATGTTTCCTTTCCATTTAATTTGAATACTGATCAAGAATTGGGTGATATTAAGCAACTATTCCTTTCATTTGATATAATGGCACAGTGGCTATGTTAAAAATCAAAGTCATTATAAGTCAGAGATGCATATAGAAATACTTGCAGATGAAAGATAAACGTGAAGATTTGCTATAAAACCCTCCAACCAAAATAAAAATGGTGTTGGGGGAAGGGAGACGTAATGATAAGTAAAATGGAAATTCCAAACTGTTGATGATTAATTTTAATGATTAAAGCAGCTGGATGACATGAATCTAAGAAATTACTGTATTTTCGTAACTTCTGTGTATGTTTGAACATTTCCATAGTAAAAATCCCAGCAAAAGTTTAGTATGAAAAAAAAAAAAGACCAATAGCGACCAACAAGCTTCACTGTTCTCTCACTGACAAAATGATCAAGTCAAAAGGAATTTGTTATGTCCCCAGTAGGGCCTACACTCCCTGCAGTGAGTGGACACACTCTTATAAATGTCAGGTACTGTGCTAATGCTCTAAATGGATGATTCCATTTAATCCCCACAAGTTACCCAGATAGGCCGGTACTATCACTGCATGTCACACAGGAAGAAAAGGAACTCAAGACAGGCTAAGTAACTTACCTACGGATGGCCTGTTAGTGGCACAGGTGGCCTGTTAGTGGCAGTGCTGTGAGTTAAAGTGTGGTTTAGTTCTAAATGTGTGCCCTTCATCCCTATGCTCTTTAGTTTTATTCATACACAAATTACATTAAAAGCATTACATTTAAAAAAAAATTACCCTGGGAAAGACTAGAGAGCTCTTCAAGAAAATGAGAGATACCAAAGGAACATTTCATGCAAAGATGGGCTCGATAAAGAACAGAAATGGTATGGACCTAACAGAAGCAGAAGATATTAAGAAGAGGTGGCAAGAATACACAGAAGAACTGTACAAAAAAGATCTTCA